CAAAGATCGGCACGTCATATTTTCTAGTCGTAACGATCGCCAATTGTGTCCACCCTGCACTGAACACCAAAATGGCAGTTCCCACAAGAAAATAGGGGAACGGAGTGCCGGTATTCCAGGCATAGCCTATTCGGTGGCTCTAGGTAGTGGGAAGGAATTACGAAAGTGACAGCTCAGAGTCTTGCTATGTGCGACCCTTGGAGGCCGTAACCAGGAAGTACTATCCATCGGAGGCATTTCCTCCAATGCTTGAAGTTAGTATGAAGAGGATTCGGGTACTCGATCATAGCGCAAGATGCCTTGGTTGCATGTCACTAACAAAACTCACTCTCAGGTTGCCTGCTCGACAAATAGATACTTCTGTCTCACTAATTCAAAGCCCCATTTCAATAAAGAAATAAGAAAGAGCAGCAAGAAAGTGTATCAAGCAAAAAGGGCCACTCTACACAGAAGCAATGCAAAGTTTGGCTGCCAACGATGACGACCACTTAGCTGGACAGACCACAAAGTGACACATTTTCGATGTTAGTGACTTAAAGAAATGCAGCCAGTGCCTACTCTAGGACATTCTTGATATCGAGCGATTAGTTTGATAAAAAACACGAATGCAAGCAGCGTTGTTCAGAAACACCATGTTGTGTCAAACCTCCATAGTTTCAAGTTTCCCGCTTGATGGTCTAGGGAAACACCTTCAAATTAACATCTGAAAGCACCTCTCTCATTCATTGCTGCAGTCAGCACTCTCTCGCATTCCCTGACTGTACCAGATCTGCCAAACTTCCAACTTTTCCCCAATGATAAATTTGTCAATCTTGTTCGCTGGCTAAGAGCCATGTCATCTAGCTTTGGAAGCATTGTACGATTCTTGTGGACACCTTCTACAAGATAACAATGTAAGCACTTTTTAGTCACATCTGATAAGCTTGGAGACACAGAGTATGTGTCGCAAATGAGGCATATGCATGCTGTGTGTGTGCGAAACTTCAAGTGACATCACTCAGATGACGTCATGGCACCACATGACACATGTGGACATGACTGTGGCTGGCATGCACCGTGCGACAACCTTAAGAGTGACGTCGCAGAGAAATGGTACATCGCAACGTGCTAAGGTTGCTCTTAAGGGGGGACAATACCTGAGCATGTCTACTCTTGAACCGCTCACTCAATCGGCGTGATATTTGCAGGTGGTGTTTGTAGCCATATAAAAGGAGGGCATGCAAAGTTTCAGCCCTGTGAGGCGATTTTATAAGGTTCTAACCCCCCCCCCCCCGCCCCCCAAATGAAGTAAAGCATAGCTTTGCATGAAATCTGCTCAATGAATCTATCACTGAGAAATGGTGTTGATCACCACATATTTTTCTGGTGGAATGCATACTGGAATACTTGTTGCCGGTTACTATGAAAAGAAATTTAAAAAAATATGCATTTTTCAGGTAAAAAAAGTTATGAAATATATATATATATTGTAAATTTCCCAAGTTTTGCAAATTACAATTATTTAAAATAAAGGAACATGAAAATGCAAAATCTAAGTTCCATATTAACCGGCTCAATAAAATTTCGGCATATAATCTGCAAATATAAAGTCTCTCAATAGTTTCATACTGAAACAATAGTTTTATTAGGTGGGATTTGCTGCCAAAAAGTGAAGCTGAGATAAATGCACTTAAAAATTTCAAAATGACATTTAAAATTTTTTTTTTTTTTTGCATTGTAAATGTTAGAAATTTTTTCCAGCAGTGTAGGCGATGTCTTCTTCAAACTTCTTCTGATATACTGACATTGCTTTCAGCTATTTTCACTTGTGGATGACCAGTGCTTCGCAGTGCAGCACACCTCACCAACATATAAATAATAATTATTTTTTACATTGTTTGTCAGTGCACATTGACAAGACTTTGCGAGGGTGTTCCTTGTTATCCATACAGGCCAAAACTCTGCAGTTCTGAATATGCATTTTTTGGAAAAAAAAGGTGCAATTCAAGGTAGTGTCCCCCCTAGCAATCTTAGAGATTGACAGTGTTGCCAACCCTCATTTTCATTTAAAGTAAGACATTTTTTGCTGGAGTCAGAGAGGCTGAAAACAGTTGGCCAAGGTTGGAATAGTTTCCAAATGACTAGTGTGACTCTGTTAACTTACATGACTTTGAAGTGGCTGCAGTTGAGTTTAAATGCCTGCAGGACAGCAAGCCTTCACATTATTCTGAAAGATATTCTGCCACATAACCAACAGGAAACTATTAACGATGCAGGCGGGAAATGATGCAGAATTTAGTCGCGAAAAGGATGCCTCCCTCTAAACCCCACTTGTTTCCCTGGACGCTACACGGCTGGAAGCAGACAAAGAGGTTTGACCTGGGCTGGGCGCCACATTGGGGGGACACGGGACGTGGGGCGGTGGCGGCGGCGGCTGGGGCTGCTGCTCCATCGGGGCTGTGCTGGCCGGTGTGGAAGGGGCCATCGGAGGCCCCCCATTCATGGCGGGCACGGGTGCCACCACGGCTGCGGCTGCCGCTCCGGCTGCTCCGGGGGTCGGGGGAGGGGGGTAGGAGGACAGGGGCACATTCACGTACACACACACACACACACACAAGGGAAAAGAAAGGAAATGGGACGGTATGCGGAGATCACGACAGAGAAAGGGTACACGAGACCACGTTTTGAAAACACGGAGAAAGAACCCCCGTGGACAATATGAGCTGCAACACCCAATCCGACCTTTTTCCGTGTCTTCCATTATCTCCCTATCTGTCATAGAGTTCAAAGAATAGGACCTAAGCTATGCTTTAAATACGACAGTTTGCGCAAAAACTATTTTAGAAGCCAACAGTTATGAAGAAAAAAAGAATGAAGGACTGTTGTAGGTCATACTGTCCTTGACATTGAAAATAGGGATGCAGGATGGAAATTCGAAGAAGCTGTGAAGAACGTGAACATTGTGGTCCCTCAGAGAAGTTTGAGATACGGGAGACTTCTTGAGTCGACCTAAAACACTGCCTCTCACTGTGATGGACAATTATGTGAATGTGAACATTGCTTGAGTCAACCTAAACGAATGCCTCTCACTGCAATGGACAATTATGTGAATGTGAACATTGCTAACTTGGTGCTCCCACTATCTGACCAGCCTCAGAAAGCATCATCCTCTCTATCCGACCACTTTGCAATGCCAATGTCATTAAAATTAAGATACTACACCAGGTGCAAAATGCTCTCTTTCACGAGGAAGCTATTATCTGGAGATGCACATTCCAGTACACTGCTGCAGAACTCACAGTGACTAAAGACTTATCTTGCATGGGCATTACGACAATGCTGGCAATGTTCATATGCAGTCAAAGCAACATCATCAATGTTGCTACAGATTAATAAAAAGTTGTGACTGCTGTTATGCTCAAACAAAATGAACTAGAATTTTTCGCAGTTTCCAGGCATTTATGACATGAAGTAGAAGTAAAGCTTAACCAATTAGTTCTTTTAGATTTGGGCAAACCCATTCCCACCCATTAAATTATTTCATAGCACATAAGGGGAATATCACTCAGCTTATGCAAGTGGAGATGATTCAAAGCTCAAAAAGAGTAGGGAGCCAAGCTGGCCAATTAGCCATTTTACCACGCTACAACATTAAACTTTTTTATGTTCAACAGTCATATTTACAGGTTGAAAATGTAATGGACTATGACGACGAGCACCACATGAAGACAACTGTCAAAACAAAGACCAAGAGCCGGCATACGCGCCCAGCAGAGGAGGCAGCAAAGAGGCCGCCTTCTTTCCGACACGTAACTTTGACAGATGCAACAGCAAGCAGCACACGGGCATGCAGGTACAAAGGGTGGGGTGTGGGGTCAAGATGGCAACTCTCTCCTACTTTTTTTTCTGTGGTCACCGACAGGGTTGGAATGACAAGGAAGTTTCAGTTGTTCTGCCTCTAGCTTGCACTCCCCACCTTCAACAACGCTTTGTCGTCTCGTGAGCTTTGAGCAAGCATGCGCTGCCAAAGCACGCCGAAGGCTACGAACGCGTGGTGGAGGCTGGGCGTACGAAAAAGATGTCCCGCTGTTCCCACTTTGTCGGTGACCACAGGATTTTATGTTTTCCACCCATTTTACCTGGTAGAAACTCAATTCAGCGTGCCAAATATTGTCACTAAGAATGGTCCTAACATTCCAGACGAGTTGCTAAAGAAACAAAGCTCACATTTACTTTCAAAACGAACACTCTTCCTCCCAATCCTTGACTTGAGGCTGCTAGCACGTGACATAAAAGAGTCAACTGCATACACCTTAGCTTCCCCATTCCGACACATTACTCAGGAGCAACGGCGGTAGAGCTGAACGTGCTGTGCTCCAAGTCCGCCTGCAGCGAAAGCCATGCAATCCTTCCAAACTAGAGAAGCGAGGCAGGCTTTCTGAAGCATGCAGCACCAGCAGTCATGCAGCTCAACACAATGCAGCCAAGCAAAAAGTGGTAAGTGAAAGGGCATCCGTGTCTTACTACCACCTCAATCTTGTGGGTCAGCAGTGCAAAGAGAAAAAGAAACAAAGCTGTTAGTGAAAAAGACTTAAGACCTTGGTGGAGCTGCATTTCCAATGTGCCACTCCTTTTGTCCTTCCCCTTATTATAAGCATACAAGTTTACTGTCCCAAGGCATGACTATGGATTACAAACTTAACCAATTGTATTGCGCATCTTTAAAAAAAATTGTGCCAAAGAAATAAAATCTATAATTTAACTGACAAATTTTACTTGCTGTTTTTACTCCCCACAGTGACATGCCATAAAGGTGCATAGGATACACTAAAAAATGTGGAAACAAATACACTAAAAGCTTTCATGATATCAGCTGAAGCTAAAAGCTTTACATTACCTGTATGCATATAAAAGCTACATAAACTACAAAATGTAATCCAAGCTAATGATTTAATACTGTGTCCTAATAGGTGCGATGGTTCCAGTCAGAAGGAAACACTGACAAGAAAGTCTGTCAAATAGAAGAATAGAGTCGACTTTATTCAATATGCTTTCTTTTTTGGGGAAATATGATGAGCATTCTTATGCTGTAGCATGCAGCTCGCATTACATTATGAGGGCTATACAACATTTACAAAACGAATGTAAAGAGCTTCAGCCGGCAATCTTCCCTCAAACAATACATTATAACTAACTAAATTTTTCAAACGGTCTTTAAAAAAAAAAAAACGAAAAACGAAAAAAGGAAATATATCTTTTTTCTTTTTATATCTTTTCATAGATGCACTCAGCGAAAGTTCAATTCCATGCAAATTGAAGAGTGGCTAAACCTAGGCACCTAGAACAGCGAACGATAAATCTCAGATTAGACTTTTTCAGATCTACGAGGGCAAGTTTACAAACAAGTTATTTGTATACTCTCGGTAGGTGTTAACACCGGACACCCACTGAGAGTTTGTGCAACAGCTGGGAGAGCATGACATGAACAAGCTAAATGGGGGTGTCTTTGTACAATACACGGTGCCAGTATGACTACTCAACCATCATTATGCAAACTTGGCAAATCTTGTCCAAGAATGTGCCTATTTGGCAGACCTCGGTTCAATTACTTCAAAACCTCGGAGGAGCCGAGCATAGTTTTGTGCATCATTGAAGCGACTAAAAAAAAATTTCAAGGCACAAGAAAAAAAAAGAAAAAGGAACAGTCCTGTTTCTCATGTCCAAACAAGCACACAGAACACAATAAAGTGAATTAGGGTTCTGGAAGAACTCGTAGGTTGTACGCAACACCGAGTAGAACACGAAATGCACACAATTGAAAGGGGTCACTTCTTTTGTGGTGGCTTCTCTTCACTGTTAATCTGATGAAACGAGACTAGAGCAGCTCTTGGGCACAAAGCAGAATGCTGAATCTTTCTGGTGGCCAGATTGTCCATTTGTGAACCAAACGAAAGGCTCCACGGTGCATAGATCCGTTCTTACAGCATCGTTTAGTATGGGTGTCCCATCCCAAAAGAATGTTGCCGATAGGCGCCTGCCAGAAAACGAAAACAATTGAGACCACTTCAACTGACTGCTAATCAAACGTCCCAAACTTAGATGTGTAGAGCAACTTAAACAATATTACACGCTTAACATCTTTTGTCCTTATTTGCTTTTGCATTATTTTTTTTAATTGAAAATGTAGTACACTTGATTTCTTAGGCATGCTTCAAAACAAATTTTTAAATATTCAACTTCATAAAGTAAACCAAGATCACTGGCCCTAACAAAGCACATCAGTATTATGCAGTTAGTAGCTCGGCTGGGCAAGACACTTGTTAGCAAGAATTCGAAGCAGTGAGCACCAAGCAATTTTCATCAAACACCTTAGCACTAAAATCTCACTTCAGGCTTGGCATGCACATCTCTGATACGGAAATCTACTATCAGTGATAAAATGTTCTTAGTAGTATCATGTTTAAGGCAGAAAGCTGCAAAATATGAATTCCAATTACTGAAAGCTCAAACTAACAAACAAAAAGTTCTAAGCAAACCACAATACCATCACTCTAAAGAGTTATGAGTACTAACAGTTAGTAGGTAACTAGCCGACAGGAAGTGATTGTGTCACCTCTAACATTTAAAAGAACAGAGAGACAAGCTCCATTCGCATACCCCAAAATTACAGCAGGCCACCTCCCACTGCCTGCGGTTCATGGCTTCGCAATCTTCTATTTTATAACTTAAACAGTTCCAGTTCTTTCCCAGTTATTTTCTAAAGCCCTTGGTGCCATGCACCGCACTAACTTTTTTTCTGAAATCCCTCTAATACCCAGCTTTGCCCTAAGGTGCAGCACCTCTTCAAAGATTGTAATACCCCTGTCGGACGGGCACCTAAAAGGACCTTTACGCTTTCTTTTAGGTGGTGCCACACGGCAACTCAAATGGCATTTAGCGTAAAGGTCCTTTTCGCGAACCTGAGTTCCCGCAACTCCTTTACGGCTGCTAAAGGCCTACTCTCGTCAGCAGCGGTCTAGAAGCAAATTGAAATAAAAGATTGTACCGATATCTAAAATCAATGCGTTTGCATTTTTATTATTGAAAAAGAATATGTTTCACGTATATTTCGTTCAAACCTCGCTCTACTAATAGTTTTCTGTACTCACGGCCCCAGCTATCTAGTAGGCCTCGTCGTCGCCTGCTCGCGTTGTCTACTACAGTACTTCGGTTATCCTCCTTTCGATTTTACTTACAACCATATTTATCTAGCTTTTATTTCTCTATTTATATTACCATCCGTACTGTATATATTTTATACTTTTTTGTAGGTATATATTTCTGTATCACTCTTGTGTCGTGCGATACGTCGAACGACGGAGGAGCGTCTACGGGTAGGAAGGGGTTGCTGCGCTTCCTTCGGAGCGTTAAGGCGACCTGGGCGCTGATACGACTTTAGGAGGGTGGTCTGGAGGACCTCCGACACGTGCGATGAACCTGGAGCGTGAGCACAACACCGAACCGAACAGGGCAAAAGCATAGCAGAAACACGGAAAGGACCGGGAGCACGAAGCAACGTTAGAACTGAAGCGGGAGACGCCCAGGGTTGCCGCTAATCGCCAAAAAAACACTTTGCTTGGGCTTAAGGTGGACTTTGTTGTAATCCCTCGACTAAACTCGTCATTTTGCCTTTTTTAATATATTGTTTGCTTCAGAAAAACTTAAAAAATTATTTATATCGCCAGAATATTACTTTTCTGGCATGAACATGATTTATGCGTTTGAATCGGGCTATGAGACTTCAATCACTGTAAACATCATCTAAATGACATTTACTTGCATTGTCTACCATGGCAGAATGGAAAGGTCATTTGAAAATCTTAAAGGCCTTAGGCGTAAAAATCCTTTTAGGTGCCTGTCTGACAGAGGTATTACATCCCCTCAGGGCCGTAACCAGGGGAGGGGTTAGGAAGTTCTGACCCCCCCCCCCCCCCCCCCCCCCCGAAATTTTTTTCTGGGTACGGCCCTGGTCGGTGCACTGGCAGCCAGCCGATTTTAATCTCCACCTCTGTGCACGCGCAGTGGCGCCGGTCGGCTACCGGGTACCAAACCGGGACCGGTTCTCCGGTTTGCTGTAACTCTCCATTATATGCCACCGATGCACATGATTCATAGGCGAAAATAAGACAATAGACACTTTCAAAATGGCCGCCGTTGTCACCAAAACCCCCCCCCCCCCCGAAATTTTTTTCTGGGTACGGCCCTGCATCCCCTCATTTCGGACGAAAAGCCATGTTTCCGCAACACTAATTGGCCATTGCCGAGTGGCACAATAAAGGGACGCCAGACCTGCTCGAAAGACAGCCTCACTTTTTCTGGTATTTTTCATAGATTGAGGCTAAATGCAAAAGCAACGTTAGTGATATCGTAACATTATGCAATAGACCATTTGCTATATGCCCCAAGCCCGCGCTAAAAGTATCATGGGAAAGGTGTTCCTTCAGCTCCTTAGTGATCGGTAATTTCAACCCTATCCTTGGTTACACAGCCTTGGAGCTTAATTCGGAGTCACCCTGAACAAGCTCCTGATATACTACCCCAAGGACCTTTCATATTGCTTTCAAAATTTCTCCTCAATGTCAGCGTTCTTGATACTGTGCATGCTGTCCACCTTTCAAACTGGAGGGGCTGCAGAAATCTCTTACATTCTTATCGTTCTCGTACAGCTTCAAAGACGCTGATATTAAGTTAGAAACACTAAAATACTATAAACAGCCCTGCAGACTCCAACCAAATCCTGGTTTTTGTTGTTGTGAATTCTCGGCTTTTTAAGCAATTCCTGCTAAAACAACAATCACAAGAATGATAATATTGTAAGAGATTTCTGCAGCATCCAGGTTGAAAGGTGGATCGCATGCACAGTATAAAAAATGCTGACATTGATAAGAAATTTTAAAAGTGTTATGACAGGTCCTTGGGGTATATCAGGCGCTTGTTCATGGTGACTCTGAATGACGCTCTAAAAGTGTGTAACCATGGAATTGGTCAAAAGTAGCGATCACTAGGGAGCTGAAGGAACACTGTTCCCATGATCTCTCAAGGCAGGCTGGGGTGCTTGGGAATATTGCAAATGGTGTATTACAAGTATGTCCCAGAGTCACATACATGTAGGATGTTACCTGGCAATCGCTACAAAATCGTCCGGAAAATTTGGAACCTTCATGTTGTGGTCTCAAATTCTCATCCGAGGTGTATTTTACTGGCGAGTTTTACCTCGTAGAATTTCATGGCAAAGCTCCATTCCAGAGAAAAAATTAGACCGACACCCTCGACACTGTCAATGACAGACACCAAAGAAGATTTTAGAAGTTTAATCGAGGGTTCTGTTTGCAGAGCTATCTCCCGATAGACGCAGCGAGCAAATGACGCCAATGACCATGCCAAGGGTGTTGGCCTCATTTCTTCGCATGAATGGAGCTACACCTCGAAATTTCACGAGCTAGAATCCACCAGTAAAATAAGCCTCCAATGAAAACTTTAGATGGCTACATGACACCCTTTGCCGACTTTTCGAGCCACATTTTTTAGCCAATTTTACAGTGAGCCTTAGTATAACACTCCATATATCCCTCCTCCTCACCATATAAAGAAACAACTGCAAATAGACACTTTCCAAAAGTCAGTTTACCCACTTCATTCAGAGCCGAACCCGACGCCCTGATGGCAACACTACTCGGATTCTCTACAACGGAAAAAGTAAACACCTTGAAGAGCATGGAGCAGAAAGCCGGAAATTGTTCCTAACACATCGTCCTCGTATGTCGCCTTCGATTCGCAAAGTTGAGGGTGCTTCGAGTTCACCTATCTTTTCCTATCACCGCCATTCGTGCGGAAACAGTGGTGCTTCCGTGACAGCCGCTAGATGGCTTCGACTTTTGAAAGGGGTCTTATTACACCTCCGACATCAAAAACTTTCGCACCCACTCCCATCCTTTTAAAAAGAAAAAGCAGACTACAAAAAAACTCACCCGAGGGGTGCATGCCCGGCGATCCGACAGAGGACGAAGAGAGAGGCATGCCTGGGGAGGCCCCGGGGTTGCCCCCGCCCCCATGGGGGACCCTGAACCCTTCCCCGGGGCCGGGGAACTGCCCCACGGGCCTGCCCTGAGGCCCCATGCCAGAGGGGATCGCGGCCCCGTACGAGGGCCCGTAGCTGTACGGCGTGCGGTGCGAGGGCGGCTGCTGGGAGGAGGGGCCGCGGGGGTGCTGACCTGGGTCCTCGGGGTTGGGGCCTCCTCCACCGCCGGCGCCCCCTTGGGGCGGCAGGCCCCCTGAGCCGGGCGGTGCGGCGGCGGCGGCCGCAGCGGCCGCCGCCCCCTGCTGGGCCATCATCATGGCGTGCGCCTGCTGCCGGGCGCGGAACTCGGCCGCCCTCAGCTGCTCCAGGTGGAACTGCTGCCGCTCTTGGATCAGCTGCTGGCGCTGGTACTCCAGCTGCCGTCAAAATGGGGCAAGGGGCACCTCGGTTAGTCGCAAGTCCGTTTGCTTAGAGTGCAGTGCCTAGAGCGCATCTCTGACCGGCGCATTCACCGCCCCCTCAAAAGGGGACCCTCGATTTCCGCCCGACGACGTCGTGGAAGTGACACGCCGTTGCCCGTCGCGACCCTGGCACAGTGATGGTATGTGTGGCAGACGCCCATTCCGCCGAAGGTTGCTCTACAGCTGAATAGTCGACAAGAAACGAAGCAGACGCGAGATGGGACGCCCCGACGACGGCGACCTTCACATCCGCTCACCTTTTACAGCGAAGCTGTTTATGGCTAGGCTTGCGTGGATTTTTCATGTGCAGTGACTAAAAACTCTACCCTCGTACCGCCGCATGCGCACGCCTTCCCCATATAAGATTCAAAGTAAATAACCTAAATAAAGCGTTGTTGAATGCGCGTGCAAGCTGCCATTTGTTTTAGGCCTTTACTTTAGAACAGTTACTGCTGCAGACGCCGGCACATGCAGCGCATGGAACACCATTTCTGCATTCTCCTTGATGCTTGGGTAATATAAAAATAGGTCTAATCAGTAGATTACCGTATTTACTCACATAATGAACACACTCGCACAATGAACGCACCCCCCACAACGGACACCAATGTTTTGACTTTTTTTTTCCCCCCTCCCATACTAAACACACCTCCAATCCTTAAAGGACCCATGAAATGAATTTTGGGCTGGAGTAAATCAATTTATATTGGGATTTTACTAATAGCACATCGTTCAGTGGGCCAAAAGAACAAAGGTAGAAAGTCAGAAGCCTGACCTTCACTACGAAAATGTGCAAAACATAGCGGACTATTTCGTACCTCCTTCCCTTCGTAAACTCTCCGCCTTTCCACTGTGATACATCCACGGACCCCACAGCGCGTCACCGGGCTACTAGCCACCATAACCGCCCCCGCAGCGCATCACCAGGACCCAAGTGCAAGTCGCACGACACCGGACCTCACCTAATCCCTTTACCCCTAAGCTGACATTGCGGTGGAAGCTACGCGCTTGCCGGACCAATCAGCCGCCTCCCTTTCATCACCTGACCTCATTCTCTGCGGGTCGGTACGCGCGAGAGAGCGTGATCACATGGAAAATGTGTGGCTGGCCCAACGAGCACGTAGCTTCCACAGCACTGTCAGCTTCGGGGTGAACGGGGTGGGGAAAGCAACTAGTCAGAATTTTGAGCGACGGACTAATCTTCTAGGGGGACAATGGCTGTGTCCGGCTACACAAGCGAGATTCCGAGCAAGAGGGGACTCCTCCCTTTCCGACTTCTTGCAATGCGCGATTTATGAGTTGAGGAGGAAAGCTAAGCAGAACAAAAGTTGAAAAAGCGTTTCATGACTCCTTTAACTCCTCGAGTCTCCAACTGCGTCCAAATCATCAGACCGATTTTCTTTTGCCGCCAAGCGGTCAGGCAAAATCAAGCCAAGCCACTCTCGTAATGCTTGCAAATGTATAGTTGCGGAAGTGATCAACTATGAAACCGAGTGGCACGCACACTTAAAGAAGCTTGGGTCGAGGAATTGCCCAGCCGCGAACGTTCTTCGTCCATCGGATGCACTGATGTGAACAAACACGCCGTCGTCTGTGGTCCACTTTCGCACAGTGAAATCGTGAAAGTGGTTAGGCCTAAGAATGGTCACATCGCTCTCCGTGCTGAGTGAGCTTCGTAGGGCGCTTTTTCTTCGGCAAAAGGCACGCCGGAAACGCCCTAAAAAGGTTTGCAATTTATAAAGCATAGTTACTGCTGCGCACCCCAACCAGGCGGGGGTGTGCCTCCATCAGTAAAGATGTGCCACGCTACCGTGCCATGTCATAACGGCCCCTAATATGACATTTGCACGAAGTGTAGAAATGGAAAAATTTTACCCCGCGTAATGAACCCAAATTTGTGTCAATTTTTCGAGACAAAAAAGTCTGTTTCTTTTTGCGAGTAAATACAGAAGTTATCAATAGGCACCATTTTCAAGATCGGTGACTCTCAGTAGATAAAAAAGGTTTCTCAAAGATTTGCCGATGTGAACCCGCGTCGGCTATATTTCTCAAAGATTTGCCGATGTGAACCCGCGTCGGCTATGTATACGCTCGCACCGCCCTCTCTTTGTCGTCGTTCCAAACGCTTGCGTGCCTAGTTTCCTGTCCTTTCGCACTCCCGGGGTGGTGGTCCCGTCGCAAGTGTCTAGTTTCCTTTGGCTCTTTGGGCAGGTCTGTGTCAAGTGCTAAAAAGAGCTTCGCTGGTCATTCACCTTCATAGAGTGGAATGACTCACAATTTTTTTACGCCAATGACTCTACGCCCAACCGTCGGGATCACGACGCTCAACGACACGACGCACCGGCTTCTGCAACGCAATATGTTGCCACTTTGGAACCACTTCGAATGCGTGGGCAGGATAGGGTTCTTGCACGAGACCGCAATGCGACGCTACTTCCGGTTCGGAAACATCACCGGAATTGGTGTTGGAGGCATACGTCGCAGTTACGCTACGCCTTTTGCATTTTGGGGCCGTGTTCACGTCGTAATTTGTCCGCTCGCTTGAGAGTTAAAACGGTCGGTTGCGCCATAATTAATTGCTCCAGCCGTAAAAGTCGGCGACAAAACGGAGCTACGACCGGCAGTACTGCTTTACTTTTCTAGGATTCTGGCAATCATTAGAAGCCGGGATGAGGCGACGCTCGAGCAATTGGTTCGCCGGTGTCGCAAAGGGCTCCGACGCCAGCACCATCTCAACGGAAGAGCTTCCTACCAACAAAGGGTTTGTGGACTGCGCTTTGTGTCGGTTGAGGAACCTCCTTGCAATCGACAAAGACGAATAAAGTGGACGAAATTACTTGCGCAGCAGCTCCATTCATCTGTGTAGCTAGTCAAAAGTTGGAGGACAGGCTACAGTGCTGACAAGTTCTGCGGAATATCCCCCCAATGATTTCACATATAGGTGGCTTAACTAATTTTCTCATCGGTCGCCGCGAATAATTAGTGGACGACGCATCTTTTGCCGTCCGACAGCACGCCTGCATACACTAAAGTGCCAAGCGACGGTGCTTTACGTGCACGTTCAAGTGCCGAGCGACAGTGCTTTACATGCACATTAAAGTGCCGTGCGAGAATGTAAAACACAAGTCACGCTTATTCTGACCTGCATTCCATCAGCTGCTCGCCACCAATCTGTTTTATCATCAAATGCAAGCGAGGCAAATACCAGAGCTCTACGGCGCTACTGCCGCTGCAATAAAACACCGACTGCCTGCCTGCAATGTGGCGCAAAGGCACTGATGGCAGAGACGACAATGTTGGCTTCGATTTTGAGGCTGGCCGGAAGTGACGTCAGGTGCAAGAAGCTTATAGAATGGCAAACACGCTGGTCGAAGACACGTTACAGGAACTAGCGGTAGAGTGGTAAACTTGAGAGGAGTGGGTGCAAAAAAAATTACATAAAAACCGAAGGAGGTCCATGAATTTAACCAAATGCAAATGCCATTGCAAACCGGGATTCCCGCTACAAACCGCGTGACGCGGGAACTGATACTTCAGATCGCAAACACAACAAGTTTGCGTTTCACGATGCGATAAACACACGGGAATTCGCTATGAATTCCTATGTCATGAGAAATAATACTGAAGGTTGCAGATGCAGCAGATTCACAACTCAATGGAACGGATACTGCAGATCGTGGACGCAGCAGATTCAAGTTTTATGGTTCAATAAACATGCGGGGATTCGCTACAATCTTGCCTGTTGTGGAAACCGGTATCGTGCCTGTAGATCGCAAACAAAAACGCGAGAATCCGCTACGAACTTCCATGTCATGGGAACAAATACTGCAGATCGCGGACGCAGCAGATTTGCATTTCACGATGCAATATACATGCGGGAACAACTCACGTGTGACGTCAGCCGATATCGCACATGCAGATCTCGGAGAAAAACGCTATCTGCATGAGTTCTCTGTTTCAGAGTTTTAAAGTTAGTTTACATGCATTTAGCTGTCTTCATTCACATGTTTTCCATTGTAATCGACAATGGTAAAAGAGTAAATATCTGCACTGCCAGACGACAATGGTTTGTGATCTGGTAATGCAGATGACAAAAAGTAGCTAAAACGACGGGTTCCGAAAGGAGCCAGACAACAAAGCAAATACAAACAAAAGGCACGAGAAGAGCAGAGCCAAGCATCCCAGCAAACAATGAGGGACCCACCGTCTCCCTCTCCCTGTCCATGATGGCCTCGAGCTCCTCAAAGTGGCGCAGTTTGATCTCCAGCTTCTTCATCTGGGTCTCCACCAGCAAAGCCACCAGTGACTTGATCTTGCGCTCTTCCACCGCTGCCAGGTGCTGCAATCATAACAGGTGCGCTTGCTCAGCCAGTGCAAGAAGAGCAATGCTCAACAAGCACAGTAAGGCAGTCAGTCAACCATCACCATGCCACGGAAATTTCCACCACAAATTCAAACTTGCGGGCCCTGTGACCACCTTCCCTAGTTTCACATCCGTTCTTCGTCTCTTTACCAACCTTCCAACAATTTGCAGATCAACCTGCTTCCTCCTTTCCACTAATTGCATTTTAGCTTTAGCATTCCAAAATATTTTAGAAATGTCCTTCAATGGGACACCAGACACAAATCTGAGTTCCTTTTGAACACAATTTTCCAACAAAAAAAAAAGTGAAAATACTGACAAACAATTGCTGCTGCTGCTATACCTGCAGGTGTGTTAATGGCAAGATTACAAATCAGAGTTCGTAAAAAAATCACCCCAAACATGAAATGGGGATTTGAGGCAATCCTAAGGATGAAGTGAAATTTGGCGTGTTCACCACCGAACCAACAATAAACATCTGGAATCTCAGTGAAGAACTGAGGAGTAACATAGACCCCAAAGACCTTTGATGTTACACCAAAATCACAATTACATCAGAGATACAATACACCAGAATAAGCCCTTCTCAGACTATAGGTAAGAACTCTACTCCAAAGCCAACGAGCCCGTTGGAATTAAGAGCTAACAATCTGGCGGGACTCTCCAGTTGTTACCCGACCAAGTCACCCCAGGACCACAGAACAATCTTCCGTTACACACTCATGTGCTCGTCAAAACAGACCCACATATAACAAAGACCTCCTGCAAGACAGACAATCCTCTATTTTTTTCCATCACCAAACTGCGAATGTGGGGAGAAGGAGGAAAAGAAGAAAACCAGGAGGTGTCTACGGCTCCACCAATGTCTCCACCGTAATAAGGTTGTAATGCTAAGAACAGCCGGCAGTCGAGTTTTGTGTCAGCGTTCGGGTGGGACAAGCGTTTGATCGGTGAGAATGCGAGTCCCGGACAAACGCCGATGCAGCACTCGTGTCTAAACCGTTCCCCGTGTTGGCCCCCGCAGGCAACGCAGAAAATCGACAGCTACGGCCTTGCTATCTAGGACTTGTTGACTCCGCAGGCACCCAGAAGGTAGCCATGCCGTTTAAACTTCTAGGAAGCAGGGACGCGGGAGAGAAAATGAGCAAAATGAAGACCCATCTCCCTCAATAATTAGCCAAAAAAAAAAAATCTCCCAATCATGGCATTGATACATTAAAGTGGTTCAGGAGCCTACAGAGCTTGCAAAACAATTATACCAGGGAGTGTTTGGCTCATGGTTACGTATTGATAGTTGTCTTAGATTATTTAAGATGGTGCTTAAGCTGGCAAGACACTTTACTTAGGGGCAGGCTAGGGGCAGGGAAGGTTGGGAATCACGGTACCCCCCCTGGGGTACCTTTAGGGCTACCCCAAGCTCACAAATTTCTTCAGCCATCCCTGCCCCTGCCCTTGTGTAAAATGTTCTTCAAGTTTAAGCACTATTTTATAAAACCTGAGCCATCCAGCGATGCGTAACAATGTGCGAACTCACTAGTGTGTGCATTATTGTTTACAGGGTCCACGAGCCTTTGCGCCACTTTATCACATTAAGGCCAAAACCAGGAGAGGTCGAGAGATGGGAAAGCTTGGGAATCCCTGCTCAAGAGGGCGGCAGCTCCCCACCTTGGCCTTGACGGCTGCCGCACCCAGGGCGGCGGCGGCCGCGGTGGACAGTTGCGCGTCCTTCACCAGGCGGTCCCTCTCGGTTTCGGGAGCCCTGGGCTCCTCCGTGTCCATGGCCTCGGGGTCGCCCTCCTTGGGGGCTTCCTCCGGGGCCGCCTTGCCCTTCTCCTCCGCAGCTGCCTCTCCGCCCGAGGCCACTCCCTCGACGGACGCCGCAGAGTTCTCCTGCGCCCCCGCCAAGGAAAGGGGGGACCCTTTTCTCAGAAAGCAGACCTCGCTTAAAATGTCTGGCGGAGACTCCACTCTTGAAGAGCTTGGGGGGGAATTAGACAAGTGTGGCAAACAACACGCCCTTCGTGAGGAAGGCAAGTGTCAAATTGGCTGGTCCTGGTCACGTGAGAGGAGGCTTTGCACGCCTTTTCGAGTGACCTTGAGGACATAGAGGCACAGTGGCATTCACCGCAGGCCTCGTTGTCAGCACGATTGACGCCTTGAGAGCATGTGCAAAACTAGAAAACAGAGGTAAGTGTCTTATCACGCTAAAATTTATAAAGAGCTGCAAAACTGCACACTGACCACCAAGATTGCATTCACGTAACGTATATTGCCGCATAAAAGTCAACCTTTTCAGATATAAGTATCTCAAATTAAAATATATAAAAAAATATACAAAAAAAAATTACAAAAAAGAGAAGTTTTTTGGTCAGATGTGGAGGGGGGTTTAGGCCTATATTCAAAATCAAACAATAGATGTTTTTCATTTCCTTTCGTTTTCAGTCACGTGGGTTCCATATCTGGTATGCAGGCCGAAAAAATAGTAAGACATTTCTGCTTGGAATAAGCAAGAAAATATAGGTAAAGCAAAATGTGTGACAATCATGTATTTTTTGTGAACACCTTCCAGCAGCAAGGAGATGAAAACAATGTTTTAACGCACACCAGAAAGACAACATTCAAGATGGCTGAACCCTTGTGGAAAAGGTGTATATGAGGCAGTATATGGTATGAATGCAATGAAAGATATTTAATAATTTGGTTGATTATATAAAATATCAACTTGGGTAACTTCTCCAATAAATGAGGGTAGCGGCAAACGTATCCACACTACAGATAGTGAAATATATCTAAACATTTGGCTCACCAAATTTTCAACCTACCGTAAAATCCCGTAAGGACGCCCACTAAAAATGAAGAGATAAATAGTGAAAAACGCTATCTTTGGGGATACCACAGCAAAAGTTTCTAAAAAATTAATGATAAGCGCCGGGGCACCCGCTACAAACCACGTGACGCGGGAACTGATACCGCAGGTCGCAGACACGGCAAATTTGCGTTTGACGATGCGATAAACATGCGGGAATTTATTACAACTCCTGTGTCACGGGAAAGGATACCGTAAGTGGCCGGCGCAGCAGATTCGCGTTTTACGGTGCGAAGGACTCGCGGAAACCCGCCGAGAACTCGCATCTCACGGGAACGGATACCGCAGATCGTGGACGCAGCAGATTCAAATTTCATGGAGCAGTAAAGACGCAGGAACCCACTACAATCTTCCCTGTCACGGAAACCGATATCGCGCGCGCAGGTCGCCCACAAAACACGGGAATGTGCTACAAACTCGCATGTCACAGAAACAAATCCCACATATCGCGGACGCAACAGAATCGCATTTCACGATGCAATATACACACGGGAACAACTCGCACGTGTTACTTACAGCTAAAAATCAATATCGCGTGCACAGATCGTGGACAGACACAGAGGAATCTGCTAAGAACTCGGGAACGGATACCGCAAATCGTGAACGCAGCAGATTCACATTTCACGATGCATTATACAAGCGGGAACAACTAGCGTGTTACGCGGGCCGATATCACCCGCAGATCGCAGACAAAAATGCGGGGACCCGCTATGAACTCGCTTCTCGGACACACCGGTACCGCCGATCGCGCCGTTGATGCTCGATTCCCGTCGGACATTGCTTGTTGTCCAACAGGAATCGGGGGGTGGGCGATGTTTCGGAATTTTTATGTTACAGATATTTAGACAGAGAAACGAGATGGGCAATCTTTTGGGGGAGGGCGCCCTTACGGGATTTTACGGTAGTATCTAACCCAAGAAACGAGGGGGTTCCATGAAACGCACTGCAATTTTAAATCTGTCTACATTTTGAAATTTAGGCATCTTCCTCTCCTTCCGATAGTATATTCGTGAGTTATTTACCATAAAAGTCGAGCCATGAGGGTAGCGCACAAGCTACCTATCAGAGACACTTCACTTTGTAACTTTATGTCTATAAGTGTCGATCAGCACTGATGGATGCACAGCATCCATTAGCGCTGACCATTATGACATTTAGTTGTAACATAAATGCTTATTTCATCATTTACACAAGTTATCCCTATTGTTCCCTTGCTTTTGAATAAATTGCAGCACAGCTAACCATGTACAACACTTGCCCAAAATCGCAACTTTAACCACAATGATGGTGGTCGATGGCTCTTTCTTTTCCCATAATGACTCCCTTCAAGCTGTGCGCCCTATAAAAACTCCGTCTCCCCACTTCATGCCTCCCCCAAAGTATGAGTCGTTGATAAGAAAGTCTGGTTTCGTGACTGTAAACGGCAACAGCATAGTCCTGCGACAGCTCCTGTCACCGCAATTGCCTTGCAGCTTGCATACGGCTTATGGTAGACTTGCTGAGATTGTCGGCAATTCGGCGAGCATCTTGGAGACTCGACTCACCTCAGAACTGCTCGGCTTCTCCACCTTGACCTCCGCCGAGAGAGAAGGCTCTGTGCCCTCCTTGCCTTCTTCCGCCTTTTCAGACTCCTCTCCCGTCGTTGCTACTGCTGCTGCCGTCGCTGTCAAGAAAAGATCAACGGCACAAAATTAGAGAATTCGAATGTTTGTACAAAACTAAAAAGCTACGAAAACAAACAAGTGGAGTTGAACTCAGCAATTTCGAGGAAACCGTAGAACTGCACACTGGCCGTACCTCAACAGATGTAAGCACCGCTTTGCCGAAAAACCTCCAGCATCCAACACTCCAAAAAGGAACCTCCAACCCTTGACGACCCTAAAAAAATCTCCCCCAGTCCATGACCAAGTAACTGAATGCAATCTACTAGTTCGTCCCTCTAATTGATCGAAATATATTATTTCAGTAGTCACGTGCAACAACCAGATACGTACGCTCGGCTTACTGTTAGCGCGACATGTCTAGCCCCCCCCCACATCCTGTCAGGTCGCAAACATACTTTCGTCTCCCTCGCAGCTAGATACATCACCTGCAACCTATTGCGGGTAAAGGAAAGTGGGACAAGCTCCTCCCAGAAAGCCGTCCACCCTTTTCATTTTAGCGGAAGGAATGCTAGAGGGGAGGGGAAAGGGGACCAGTGGACAGGAGGAAACTGCCAATCAGGGCATGCAGCAGGCTTTGTGCGAGTGGGTCCTGCTTTTCTTAACGTGCAGCAGACTGTAGGAAGGGTGCAATTTCACGCGCGTCTTGTTGCAACGTTGGCCGCACGACCGTCAACGGGGGGTGCGGAGAGGGAGAGCACGCACCTCCTTCGGTGGGTTCCTTGTCGGCCGTGCCGGCAATGCCGGTCATGCCCAGGCCCGCCTTGGGATTCACGTTGCCCTCGGCCGCCGCAGTTTCCACGTTCTTGATATGGGCGTCCAAGAGGGCCGACGGCACTTCGTCCTTGATCTTGGCAAACTCCTCTGCAGCCGAAAAGGCAACAACGCGCCGTCAGCAACGCGGGAGGCACCGAAGTGTCGAGTGCCAACTTTGGGCACGCCAAGTCACCGCAAGAAATGGCTAGCTGTGCAGAAGTTCCTTCTCATCTCATACTAGGCCCCCAAAAGCACATAGGAATCGCAAGCTTCATTTTCTTTTTCTTTTATGTTGCTCGCGGAGAAGTGTATAGAGAACTTCCACTAAAATATGTAGATCCCTCCTCGATAGAACAACTATACATATGCAGACCCCCCCTCCCAGAGTAGAACAATTTCGTGCATCAAGGGGTCAAGAATAACAGCCACAGTCTAACTATTCAGCACCATCCTACCAGATTCCAGAATGAGACAGCACATAAGCTGTTCCGCCTACACAAGAGCCCACAAATTCACAGGCTACATAGACTTGCCACATCTCTAGCAGCGGAAAACAAAGGGCGACAGTTTGCTGACACCACACACTCAAAAACGATGGCTGCATAAACAACTAGGCTCGTCGATGGGGATTCCCTCCTCACTTCAGTTGTCTTGACCAGATTGACTACATAAACAAAGACAATGTTCGTTCCCAAGAGAAACGACTGGGAGTACCAGAAGCACACTGAATAGTTCTCTAATCCAAGGGCAACAATCATTTTATGGTGCCAAGTGGCAGCTCTCTGACTAGTCTCTCCTCAGGCTGCATGAAGCGCGGAAAGTAACCTAGTATAATTCTACTCCCCTTCTGACCTAACACGTATTAACCTACAGAGAGCCTGCAGGAATAAAGCGGTAGGCACAAGTTTGTCCCACCACGACGCAGCAAAGGCACCCCAGAAAGAATGCAAGTAGCCGGTCTCACCCATGGCAGCCTTGGCTGCAGACGAAGCGACCCTGGGGTCCACCACTGAGGCCAGGAAAGCCACGGTAGACATGATCGGGTTGCCAGCCTTGGAAAACGGAATGGGCTGAAACGCCAGGGGTCCTGGAAGGGAGTGATCCACCAATTGTAGCCCGCTGACAGCTTCGTGACCCACAAAACAGTATGCTAGCTTGATTAAACGATCTGGTCAAAGGTATTGGTTTCTTGTAATAATAAATAGTAAAAGAACTTAATGGTCCACTCAAAGGCACACCACAGAAAACGTGCTGCAGTTCCGGGAGCCTGTGCATCGCCCCAGTAAAAACAAAGACTGCGAAATCGGAGAGACAGGCCAAGGAACCACAAAACAAAGGCCGATGGCGGGAAATCGAGCAATACTTGTTTCTCTATCATGAGATAACACCATACTGATGTCGTCATGACTGCCTTTCCGACAACCCGTCCAGTGCCGCAGGTCACTATCGCCTGCAACACTGGGTTTTCTTTTTTTCGAGGCATATGCAAATAACTTTTAAGTTCTGATTGCTACATACTGAGCGGCCGATCTGTACCATCAGCTTGTAGCCACCGGCAAGGCCGATGCATCGAGTGCTAGTGCATCGTGTGCGTGGGTCAGACGAAGACCGGGCAGAAACCAAATTAAAACAGTTTCGGATATCATCTCTGGCCTTTACCTTCAGTATTTACCACTACTCAAATTTGATGCAAACAATCACCTCAATATAGAGCATGCACATCGCAAGAGAATTCTCTTAGTAATAAAGGGCATGCGACGCATTACCTACGTAAGACCGTCGATTCCTCAGGCAAGAAAACTAGTCAAGGAGGAAGGAAAGATTCGAGCCTCACTAATATTTTTCTCGGGCACCAGCGCGAGCACGGATATCCGTTCAAAGGTAAACAAGATGTGAAGGGTTACTTTCTGAACTTCATTTTACAGTAACTCAGCAAGGAGCGAATGCTATGGCCCTCTCGAGCCAATCCGACCCATGGAGGCAAAGCTCATGACAGCCCTCACCAAAAATACAGGTACGAGAGCGTAACCCCAGCAGTTGATGAAGAGTGGACGGAGGAATTCCCAGTGATGTGTTGGCCTAAGCCGTTTTGGAGCACCTTCTGGAGCAGCCAAAAGAAAGTTTTGGAGCAGCAAAACTGGCTTTTGGAGCAGCTAAAACAGTGTTTCGGAGCAGCGAAAGTTGCTTTTGGAGCAGATATTCTTAGAAAAAAAAAAAGATATTCATTTCAAGTGGTGTACAAACGAAGGACACATTGCTCGCCGCAATCAACTAATTATTGTTAAGATAGACAACCTGGGAGTCTTTCAACATGTAACTGAAATGCCAATGACATGACAGTTTTGCAATGCTTCAGTTAAATGATACAAATATAGTGGACCAAAATGCATGTATTAAAATTCATTTGAAAATAACCAGCTTAGTAGTAAATATCACATCATTAGGTTGACTAGTAATATAATAAATGGAAGAAGTCTCCAACTGTTGAAAACACATTACTACTGCCGTGCAATGCGAAATTGTTGCGTCGGCCGAGATGGCTGTTCAATCAAAACCATGCCACTCCACTCCGTCTCCAACTAATTCACAAAATTGTATGCAAAATGTAGCTGTCCAACATACGACAAAAAAAAAAAAAACAGTCCAGCGGCACGTGCTTGCCAGGACTGCAGGCGAGGAGCAAGCTAAACACAGAAAGAAAAAGAACCTGAGCGCATCGATGCAAGACATTGCGAGCCAGGATCGAAAAGTTCTTGGAGCACTTTGTGCAACGACAGAACTCGAGACAAATAAGCACGCTGTGTGGGTTCAGCATGCGGACATTGCCTTCTTTGCTTCAGCTCACTTCTCTTCACCAACATCTTTCACGGCCGATTTTTCACGTACCGGAGTACATCTCGAAAGAAAGCCCACCGAGAGAAACCTAGGTAATCAATACTTCGACACAGCAGTCTTTGAGCTAAAGGGATGTTTGTAGTAGCATATTAAACAAGAACAGGATTGTTGATGAACATGTGGCAGTCCTTACATTTTAGTTTAGAAAGTGCCATAAATGCAGTGACGTGGGTACGGCAACTTCAGACGTCGCGCGATTATGGTGACTGGCAGGCATAGACCAAATATAGCTTGGCCACAGCCGTTGCTTTTAGGAGCGAGTGCTTCAGCCCATAAAGTAACCCCCCTGCGCAAGAACATGGTTTCGTTTCACAGCATGACGGCACGGCTGGTACCCAGCACGCTAGCGTCAGAGCGTCCGCACTCGTTCACGGCTATCATTGAAATGTTTTTTGTTTTTCATTAAAGATGCGAGAGGAGAGACGGAGGGAAAAGCCATGCAAGACCGGATGAACGATTGATGCAGGGTACCTTGTATCGGACAGCTGCTTGCACCACCTAGCTCATGTGTGCTCAATTACGGTACTCAGTTTAGTTTCGGTTTTCAAAGGCGACCAAAATTGGTTCTCTGGTGCAGGCTTGGCGCAGATTACCCATATTTGGCGAAATGTAGCAGGATGTAGCAGGGTTAGCCCAATGGCGCAGTTTGGCGCAATTGGCGCAGCAATCACATCAATGAATTTCCCTTTTTGACCCAAACCCTCTTTTCTGTGTCTCACTAGAAGATAAGTCCGTCACTCAAAATTCATACAAAAGCAGCCTTCCCCTCCCATCCGCCTGTGTCATGGACAGCACCACCCAAACTAGCGAAAGAGTATAGTCTTGTCTCCCTCCAGCACGCCCAATGACTCGAAAGGGCCGTAGCATTCACTCTTGAAACGGAGTGAACAAAGTGTAGCACACGTCGCTCGAAGTCCGGCAAACACATCGCGATCGTCCAAGTGCAAGCTGCGAAGGTATGCTCACCCAGGGCTCCACCCCCGGCGGCCGGGTCGTCAAGGTAGGGGTCCTCGATGGGCAGGCGCAAAAAGTGCAGGATGCACTCGTCCTGAGTGCGGCTGCCCACATGCTCGCACACCTTGTTCCAGTCGTCCTTGTACATCTCCAGGGCCTCGAGGAGCAGCAGCGTCTCCTGCTCCGTCCACTCCCGGGACACCGTGGCCGCCGCCCGGTGCTTCAGGTAGGCGTTCTTCTTGGCGTACTGGTCCATCTTTAGGCCCAGCATGTCCCCGATGGCCGGCTTGGCCGCCCCACCCTCCTCCGGCTTTCCGTCCGTCCCCACCTCCTTGGCCTTATCCAGGTTCAGCATCTGCTGCGCTGCTGAAGGCTGCACGTGCGCGCCGGCAATGGGGAGTGAGCGACCCCAATTCCATTCCAACTCCTCTCCAGGGATTTGGATATTCAAATAATTCCGTTCCTTTTAAACTCCTAGGAGTGGAAACACTGCGCCCATTCACACTCTTGGAACGACTGGATCGTTCCGTTCCATTCTTCTAATTCCCAACTGTGAGAAATGGTGCTTGACGGCTACAATAAGTTGCCGGAAAATAACGTCGGCATAAAGCTGAAGTTATCAAAAGTGTAGACAACTGCAAAAATATGCAAAACAAGTCCTGAAGGCATCAATTCCACTAAGCCGAGAGGTAGCTGCACATAGCGCTGGCGGCTATCGGCATGGTGGCACTCCAGAGCTTGATCGTGCGAAAAAGCATAAAAGTCTTGTGACAGACAGCAAAACTCCATACCACAAGGACTGTATATATCCTCCACTTCTAAAAGATATGTGATAAGTGAGGAGTCACACATCAAAGAAACGCGGGCAGTGTGGCATTGTCCGTCTGGAGGCCTACAACGGGTGCTGTGATGGCACATGGGCACAACAGCCAGGTTGTCGCGTCTCGCCGCGCCAGGAACAAAACCTTGTCCGCCTACAACTCTACAGTTTTGGTTGCTTTACTGGGGGTGCCACTTTCATCCGAGTCATCAGTTAATTAAAATGGGCAATGATACTGTTTCAAAATACCCCTTGACCACATAGACAAATTTCGCATAAGAGCAAAGCTCATTTCCTAAAATGCAAAAAAAAAAAAGAAAAATCCTGAGATATTTTTTTGTATTTGGAAATACAAAGTAAAAGGGGTCAAGGTTGATGTGCTGTGGAAAGTGACTCTACATGACAAGACTGATACAGTATAGACCACTTACAACGTAACCGCTTATAGTGCAGGACCGGGTATAACGCGGCTTTTTTAAACCACCGGTTCGCCTTCCATAGAACTCCATGTAATTACATACCGCTTAAAATGCAGGCGCGCGAAGGGAAATACCGGTTATAGTGCGGTTTTCGGAAGAACCCGGCGACCGCGCCAACTGACCGACGCAGAGAGCACGCTTCCCTGTGCGACACTAGATAATGGCGCGAGCCGCAAGCGGCACTCGCGGGGTAAGGAGGTTGCTTGAAGAAGCAGGGAGAAGCGAAGAGAGGCTTCAGTTGCCATAGCGACGAAGGGATGCACGCACGTGTCGTTCACGTGCGTGCGTCCCTCTGCTGCGTTGGAAACGTTGGAAACAACCGCAACGACAGACCAATCGCAGGTCGAGGTGAAGTGTTCGCGCGCGTTGCATGCCGGTCGCGGGCCGGCCGGCCGGCTGCTTTTATTCGCAAACATGGCGTCGGTTTTGATAGTCGATGTAGACAGCATGGTAGAAGCTCATCGTTCCGCGTAAAAGCGCTATCTTTGACTGTGAATTTTCGTTGTGTGTACTAGAAGGGAAGATCCACCTACTTGTGCGGCGATGTCCTGGCGGCGCTCTCAACACTGCAGAAACGCCCGTGTCGTCGTGTTTGTTTACTTCGACTGCAGTGGTGCTTTCTAAGCATTTGTGTTTTCGAACATCGCTTGGATTTCTTATTTGGAACATTTCACGCCTGTGCTAAAGTTGAAGGTATTACTGGCGCGTACCATATAAAGGATGTGAATTTTCACGCGTTTTCATCGCCGGAGAAAAGTGATTAGGGTTAGCAATCCTGAACGCTCGCAACGTCTGTCCGCAACCCGCGACGCTGTTAAAAGGCTGCGCCAGGCAAAAGTCGCTAATTTCTTTCAAAATGTGTGAAAAACTTGAGAGAGAAGTGTACTAGTCTGGTGAAATAAAGACTTTCCTCAAACTAAGCTTTATTTTTCATCTAACATAAAATAAATTCTTTTCCAAATGTAAGTTGTCTGATGGCATGCATTTTGGCCTGAAAAATTTATGTTTTGGTTATAGCGCGGTACCGCTTACAGTGCGGATTTTCGCGACTCCCGCGACATACGTTATATGCGGTCTACACTGTAGTAGCCCATTTGTTAAAGGAACAATGACTTCAGCAGATATCAATTCCATGAATGCATATGAAACTCAATAAGGAAAGTGGCAAGGCTAAAGATTTAGCAACAAGCCCTAAAAAAAAGACAAGACATGGCTTTAGGGGTACTAACCTCCAATAATAGGCATATTTTAACTCACAAAAATTCCCCACTTCGAAACAGCCCATTTCCAAAGAAAAAGCCTCAACAGCCACACTACACCTCGGTAAAGAAAGGGGCAAGCATGAGTGACAGGGTTGCCACAGTGCCTACTCACCTGCTGAGTCCTGGGAGGGTTGAGGGGCTGCAGTCCAGAGGGGGTGTCAGCCAGCACGTGGAAGTGGGAGGTGGAGGGGGGCCCCATAGGAGTCGGTCGGCTGTCCGCATCCACCTGGTAGTTCACCAGCCCCCACTGCTCCAGGAACGCATGTACCCTGCACAGGATCCACCACACCACCGCCCTCCCTCAGGACAGCCCAGACGTCGAAAATGGGCAACACGACCACAAAGCCTGGGATTTCCTGGTTCCAGTACGACCTTAGTAGTTGCAGCATGCTTCCACCATACTTGAGTGCTGATTCCAGAATTCATAAAATGAATATTTCCCAACCGAATTCGACAATGATGTATGTTGAGAGGTGTTTGACGGTGTAAACATTTGATCTTTACCAAATTTGTTTTCTATGTTATTTTTGGCGATTCTAAGACACTATGGCAAAAAAGGCTGATAAGCCCCATTACAACACTGCCCCCTAAAGCTTGAGCGCACTCACCTCATAATGGCACACACGTCGCCAGCCAAATTCCTCCGGCAAGCAGTCACAGTGAGGTACTCGGTGGGGTTCAACCGATATGTGTCGATCATAAAGTTGCGATACGCAATGTACCTGAAATGGAGAACCACATTCTCACACCAGGGAAGAGAATGCAAAGAAACCACTACCGGTTGACAAAAAGCCATCAAACGCCAACAAAGCCATTGTAGCACAAATCACCACAAGATATAGGCCGAGACAACACGCAAAAGTAGGTGAGACAAGAGCTTACACTTCTGGTGTCTTTGACTTGTTCTTGGCATTGAAGAACTCTGGCAAGGCCCGTCGCTCGATGGCATGAATGCTGCGCAGAAAAATGGAAGTAACAAATCAGCCAACGCTTCAGTGCAATGCCCTGTCTCTTCTTGGTTAGGAAAACCGCGAACCATTTAGGCAATGGAAGGCAAGCGCCAGTAGTCTCACCTGTTATAGTCGAACCATGCAGCATAGCTGGGGATGATGATGTGGTTTGCCTGTTCCGTCACATTGTCATCATGCGCGTCTGCCTTCTCGCTCTTTCCAGCTCCGTTGGGGCTGCCCGGCCTCGATCCCTTGTCTCTGTCACCCTTCAGAGAAAGGAAACCACAAACATCAGTTCAATTCTATGTCCGATCCTCTCTCCCAGTTTCGCCGCCAGGTAATGCAAAATGTTTTTGAGCCTAAAATTCAAACAAAAAAATGCACAATTAGCTCAGCTAGTAGTGAAAACATCCACATCAAGCTGGCCGGTGCTAAGCTATTTCTTGGTCTGGGTTGGGCCTTCGTAATTCAGCCCATGCACTGGTCTATTTTGTGGCCCTGCAATATTATTTCATTGCTTAGTAAAATGGCATAGCACAAACTCATTGCAGCTTCAGAAAACAGTTCCTCACTTTCTCGTCCAGATCTGCTCCATCCAGATCCATTAGGGTGCCCCCCTTGACAGGCTGCAGTTCGCTGTCTTTGCTGCTCCGCTGGTTTGGGTCTGTCACAGAAAGCACACAAGCAAGTTGAGGTGGTGAGGGCAATGTCAGTCCAGTTAATCAAGGTTCACAGCATTTCTCCATACAAGCTTGTGACGGGTAAAGAAACTAATCCTGTTAATAATCATACCATCATTTTGTCTAGAGTTTTACTAGTCACAGCGTCCCAAGCTTTTCTGAGTGTCTAGTGCTCTTAACATATATAGTGCTTGCCAAGAGGGTAGATAAAATTACTATTGAAACTAAGAGGGTTGCTCAAAAAGTTATTCCCCCCATTTTTGTTTTTCTCGTCATATGTTAAAGATAATAACGCAAGACTTTACAAATTGCAACCTTCAGGTTTTCTGCATACAGGTGTGCAATTTCAATAATGTATGACTCCACAGATTGCAACCTTCAGCTTTCCTGCATACGGGTGTGTAATTTCAAGGTTGTGACGTAGTGGGTGCTGCTGTAGTAATTCATGAAAATAGCATTTGCACCTGACACGCATCTCAAACAACAAACTGTAAATGAATTTTTAGTGGCGAAAAAGAAACTGTGGGGAACATTGACAACTGCTTGTGTGCTGTATATGGAAGTTCTGCGATTGAAAGGAACATTGCTGGACGCTGGGTTTAAGAAATGAAGGCGTCGGGAAGTGGAGGAATGGAGCTGCTTGATCAATCGAGGTCAGGGCATCCTGTTTTTGTAAATTGCAATCTGCTTCAATTTCAAAACGAATCAAAGTTTCTAAACCTAGGCATCTTTAGTTGTTAATACTCCATAACAAAGGTCGAAGTAAGCAGCCCCCAAAATGCACTGAATTTCTCCATTCCTGATGGGAATAAACATATGTATGCACTGTGCTTACGTTCAAAGCACGGAGACTGTCTTTGACCAAACACATTGTGTACGCTTTGTCCTACCGTACTGCCCAGATTGGTGCCACACAAGCAAACATTCCACAATGTGTTCTGCGTGTGTTCAGCATAACTGCACCATGGTCTGTACACCAAGCATTAAGAAAGGCATACAAATGTCGATCTTACTTCTTATTAAAGGGGGGACATTAGCCTACCGTAAAGTTCCGCAAGGACGCTCGTCCCCGAGAGATCGCCCATCCCGTTTTTCTGGCTAAATATCTTTTAACATAAAAATTCCGAAACATCGCCCACCCCCCACTTCTGTCGGACGTCACGCAATGTGCGACGGGAATCGCATCAGCAGCGCAATTTGCTGTACCGGCACGTCTGACAAGCGCGTTTTTGTCCAAGATCTGTGCACGCGATATTGGCTCCTGTAACACGCGAGTTGTTCCCACATGCATGTTGCACTGTGAAATGCGAATCTGCTGCGTCCGCAATCTGTGGCATCCGTTCCCGTGACATAAAGTTTTTAGCGGATTCCCGCGTTTTTGTCCGCGATCTGCGTGCGCTATCTCGATTCCATGCGAGTTGGTCCCGCGTGTGTATTGCATCGTGAGATACGATTCTGCTGCGTTCGCGATCTGCGGTATTTGTTCCCGTAACATACGAGTTTGTAGCGGATTCCTGCCGTTTTGTCCGCGATCCGCATGCGCGATATCGGTTCCCGTGACAGACAAGTTTGTAGCGGGTTCCCACATGTTTATTGCACCGTAAAACTTGCATCTGCTGCATCCGCGATTCGCGGTATTCATTCCCGTGAGATGCGAGTTCTCGGCAGATTTCCGCGGGTCTTTAGCACCGTGAAACGCGAATCTGTTGTGTCTGCAACCTGCGGTATCAGTTCCCACATCATGTGGTTTGTAGCCGATTTTTCATAAAGTTTTGCTGTGGCGTCCCCAGAGATAGCCCAACCCGTTTTTCGCCATTTATCTCTTCATTTTGGGTCAGCATTCTATCGGAAGTTTACAGTAAATTAAAATTTTTTTTAAATTCATTTTTAAATTTTTCGGTTTTCGGTTTTAGAAAATAAATATATACACCTAACACTAAATTTGGTAACCATATGCTAAGTAGTTACATTGATATAAAAAATTTTCAACACATTGTGAGGCAGTAACAAAGTAAAGGAGTTCAATGTTTGAATGCATTTTTCTCGGTTCCACTTTTTGCTGCTAATTTCATACGAAGGAATCTCTTGTTCGAAGGTAAAAGTATTCTGACACCACAGTCAGGATGTTTCTGAACTGATATTTGCTGGGGAATCGGGCTATCTACTTTATTTTGTTTTAAGTTGAACTCCTCATTGAGGAAAAACTATGTTTTCGAAAATTGACATAGGACAGATCATGCATCCTATATTTTGAAGTAATAACTCTTCCTGAAATATTTCCATTTGAGTTATGAAAACTAGATAGCCCGAAGTCTCAAAACCCCCACTTTATATTCAGGCAGTCAAAATGGTACTTAATCACTTTATTTGCATATCATAGATTTCTTAATGATGAGTGACACATCTTATGCAAGTATGTAAAGTTGTCCTAGAGAGCTGAAAGTTTGAACCGTACACATACACTTGACATTAAATCTCCCCTGCAAATTTCATTCCAATCACTAGATTAGTTCAGAAGTTCTATCTCTAGCCAGTGTCCCCCCCTTAACGAAATTCAAAATGCAGGACTGAAACTGCCCACTGTAACGAGGATGAGCTATTGGAGGACAGGGTAAAACTCTTGTTTGTTTTCAGGTTGTCGCAGCGTTTCGCAATGACCCAGGGAAATGGCACTACAAAAGGAGCTACACTCACTGCTTTTGGGAATCGAGACTTCCTGAACACTGGGCTCAGGAGAGGGCTCTTCCATGTCCTTGGTCAAGTCGTCTGATTCGTCGTCGCGGAAAGATCGTTTCTTGCCCATGGCTGGGCTGCGCCCTCCCCTGTACATTGGAAAAAGCAGACAGATTAATCCTCACTTGTCACTATACTTTGTATCACCTTACGATGCAGCACAGAGGACACTATCAAAAGCTATCCCATGCCACACAAGTGTCATGTGACCTTCGAGAGGGGCACATAGTCACGCAACACATTTAAAACACTTCATAGCATCTGCTCCAGGCCATTGGAAGGTGAAACGGAGCATAGGCATTTGTGTGGTACTCTGGAAGGCTCATGTATTAAGCCTTAAAGGGATACTTCAACGAAATTTGAAATATTCCCGTCGTGTTCAAAAATAGGTTGAATATGATCCACAATATCCGTAAAAGAAAATCGCACGTTTGTATTTTGAGCCTGGTGGCTGCATTTTTCGTTATAAACGGCCCACTCTGGCAAGCGCTCGGTGAAGGCCCAGCGGAGACCACATGACATCCAACACAATCGTGACGTAGCTCGTCTCAGGACGAGCAAAGCTAGGGCGAGGCTGACGTCGAGAGGATGGCCTAGTCGTTCCAGCCACCGAAGCGGCTGCTTTTGTACGAATTTTGGGTGACGGGTTAATCTTTTATAATCCTGTAAGGGGACGATAGCGACTTCTGCGACACACAAAAGGCATTCTCGGGGAAGAGGGGAGTTCCTCCTTCCCCTCTTCTTTCGTTGTGGCTGGAGGCGAGACAACCTCCGTCACTAGCTGTCAAGGTTCCTAGACGAGCATTACAAACGAGGCGTGAGCGACATCCACCAGGTGCTCTTTGCTAATCGTTAAATTTGTTTTAAAATTCCTTTTCGAGTCTTTTTTAACAAGATATTGGTATGTTCGATGTGATACTGCTCCTTTGTACACATATAGACCAAAAAATAAGTGCCGAAATTTCGTTGTAGTATCCCTTTAAGGGGGGACACTACCCAAAAAAGTAAATTTTTGAACCACTTGTCTGATTTAAATTATATTTACAGGGCCTGTTTCTGTTGATGTTGAGAACATTTCTGTTAATTTTTGTTAACCTGGGGGAAGTACAAAAAAAATTGCAAACGTTCAAAGACGAAAGTGGGCTTGTCTGCTTAGGAAAACTATCGTTTTGAAATTACTTATAAATTTGTCGTTTTCATGTGTTACATTGCATTAGGACAGTTCAGAGCAGATAACTATGGAGCTATATTTCTATGTTATACCATCTTTCATGACAAAAAAGCCACATAAACACAAATACAGTTTTTTAGATTTCCATCCTTTGTCCAAACTTTTAGTTGTTGAGCATGAAAAATTACAAAAATAAAATATAAGCTCATAGTCATCTTCCCCTTAAAATTTCACCCCAGAAAAACTCACAAAAATTAATCCAAGTTGCATAATAGCAACTTGGATTAATTAGTTTTCCTAAGGTGAAATTTATGCCAAAAAGTGGAATGGAGAAAAATGTGTTCAAAGTGCTCCAACCTCTACCTTTTCTTTAGCATCGGTGGAACGAAAATAATTTATAGAAAATTAACTATGCAGTGTAAACTAGTGAAACTTTCTGGGAATACTCTCTAGATGTTGGTGGATGTAAATATGACATTTTTCAAAATCAACTTTTTTTTGCAGAAATTGTTTTTTCTGGGTAGTGTCCCCCCTTAAGTGGATTGCAGACGTGCGTGCATGATCGGCCCAGAAAGCTTCCCAATGAATGGAACTACGAGCTCACACTTTCGGTTTATTTGGAGCGTTATACCACATCACAACGTCTTATACCTTACGAGAAATTGCCAGCATGGAGACTGGTCAAGCACAGAGCGTGCGGACGACAATGAAAATGGGATTTCTTCAACAACCAGACACGGGGGGAGAGAAAAAGCACTGCGAAAGGTACGGCTCACCACTTCAATAAAATGAGGAAGCACAATAAAGTTATTCAAAGAAATCATGCGCCATTCCACTCTGTGAAGGTGGATGAGCAGCGAAGCTGTTTAGCATATGACACAGACCCGCCCCGAGGAGCCGGAGGAAACTAGACACGCGCGACCGCTACCCGACGGAAAGATAACACACGCGACGGGGCTGCCACCTCGAAAGACTGGAAGGAAAGGAAACTAGGCATGCAAATGCTTGGAACGGCGACAAGAGAGGGCAGTGCGAGCGTAGACATGGCCGACGTGGGTCGCACAGCGGCAAATCTTTGAGAAACCTTTATTATCTACCTTTGAGTCTACTGATCTTGAAAATGGTGCCTATTGATAATTAATCTACTGAATAGACCTATTGCTAAATTACCCAAGCATCAAGGAGAATGCAGGGCATGGTGTTCCACGCGCCGCGCTTACCGGCATCTGCAGCAGTTAACTGTTCTAAAGCAAAAGCCTAAAACAAATAGCATCTTTCATGCACGTTCGTCAACGCTTTATTTTAGTTACCATATTTATTCGCATAATGAATGCACCCCCCACAACGGGCATCAATATTTTTACTTTTTTTCTTCATCTCGCATAATGAAAGCACTTTTAATTTTCAACTCCGCGAGTCTTGAAATCAATTTTTTTTTTGTCACCCAGCGGCCAGGCCAAGTCAAGCCAAGCCGCTCTCGTAATGGCTGCAATTGCGCGGTTGCAGAAGGGATCAACCGTGAAACCGAGCGGCGCGCATGCCTAACGAAGCTGGGGTCGAGGAATTGCCCATCCCCAGACGTGCTTCGTCCATCTGATGCATTGATGTCAACAAACACGCCGTCGTCTGTGATCCGCTTTCGGACAGTGATATCGTAAAAGTGGTTAGGCCTAAGAATGGTCGTGTCGCTCTACGTGCTGAGCAAGCTTCATAGGGCGCTTTTTCTTCGGCAAAAGGCACGCCAAAAGCACCCTAAAAAAGGTTCACAATTTATAGAGCATAGTTACTGTGGTGCCCCCACAACCAGCCATGGGTGCACCTCTGTCAGTGGAGACGTGCCATGTCCTATTGGCACCTAAAATGACATTCGCACAAAGTGTGTACAAGCAAAAATTTTACCCCGCGTAATGAACTCGCCCCCCAAATATGTGTGAATGTTTCGGTAAAAAAAGTGTCTTCGTTATGCGGGTAAATACGGTATTTACTTTGAATCTTTTATACGGGGAAGGCATGCACGTACGGCGATGCGAGCATAGTTTTATCACTGCACACAAAAAATCCACGGAACCCTAGCTATAAACAGCTTCGCTGTAAAAAATTAAGGCTGTTTTCACCACCACCCACCAGTTCCAGCAAGATTTATCCGATTTTTGATTGTCTCGATACAGATCACAGAGGCTAATCGGTGAGTCACTTTCAGGTCAGAGTACACTGCACCCTCATGGTCATTATGTATCTACACACAATACATCAGAGGTACATCATACAGGAAAAGACAAAAAAGAAATGTGGAACTGACAAAAAAAAAATGTGGACATCACGTGACGTGGTAACGTTGTGTGGAGTGGTATGCAGTGACGGATTTAAAGGGAGGTCAGCATGTCCTGAACCCCCCCCCTTCACATGTACAAATTTAGGACAGGGAAGGGGGGTGGAGGGGGGGGGGGGGGGGGGCTGTTTTCTCAAACATCTAATATGCTAATTCCCTCCCTCGCCCCCCCCACTCCGCTGGAAAAACTGCTTCGCCCCTGGTATAAGTATAACTGCACCAAAGTTACCAACATTACAACGAATTTTACACACAAATCTTTTGTCAGGTGTGACCAAACCAAGTAAAAGTCACCCAGTAGGTCCCATGGTCCTTTCGTGCCAAATGCTGTGTGTGTCAGACCAGCCTCGCGACGAGCTCCTTGGTTAGTGTGCACGAGCGCAAGACCAGAGTCCGAGAGAGAAGGGGCAGAGAGGGACTCACCCCTTGCGCTTCCGCTTGTCCAAAGGGGGAGACGGAGACCTCTTGCGTTTCTTGATGCCTTTCCTGTCGCGCCGCTCGCCTTCACCAGAGAGCAGCTGTGGGAGACCAGTCAGGACCCAACCATTAGAGCATAACTGGAATGCAACGATGGCTTGGCAATTCCCCGAAAATCAACACTAAGCAGTGGCTTGTTCTCTATTCTTTGACAAGTGTCTCATTTTTGCTTCTTATGGACTGTGTTAGATGACCCAAAACAGCAGCCATGCGGCCATATTTTGTAACTTTGTGATCAGTTCTCAAAATTTTTTTTATAGCTGTCACCACTTTTCCATGAATGACGTCCAAGTATTTTTGGGGGCTGATGTTTATATGGCACAAGGTTAATTAATCGTTTTTTTTGTTTTTTTTAATTTGGAGTATAGTTTTCCTCATGCACAAAGGAAATGTGGTCAGTGCAGTGCAACAGTTAAAGTTAACCTTTTTTAACGAGTATAGCGCTGACAAGGACTTAGGGCCTACTGAAGTACAAAGGTCACAGAGCTGATTCCCAGATAAGTAAAATGTATACAATGGAAAGGTAATTTAGACAAAGAGTTGCAATCATTATATAACCCTTTCAGTCTTATTAAAGTAAACTAATAAAAATCCAATTTCTTTCAGAGAATAAAAGACTCACTCTAAAGGGTGTAACCAACTGGTAAAGCACGATCAAAAAAAAAAAAAAAAACACTCACCTCATCCAAAGTGTACTTTCCCCTGGGAGACCTCCTTCGGCCCTAAAATGCATGTCAAACAGAACCGTAAGTAAGGAACAGCGAAGGCAGTAAAGCACAAGCAAGGTCGACAGAAAGGCAGCTTACCATGGCATCTGTTTCGACCTCATAGTCCTCCTCATTCATCCATTCGTTGTACTCATCCAGGTCAATGAGCCACTTTGCATTAACCTGAAAGTTGTATTGGGCGAAGGACATCCACAGTGAGTAACACTTGAGCAACAAACTCAACTGGTACACACAACTACGAGTATATTCATTTCAATATCAAACAAACATAGCAATACTTTTTAAAGGTGCCCATCTACTTGACTATACTCCGTGTCACTAGTTGTGTGCAGTGCAGGTGAAGGCAACGCCAGGCAAAGAGAGAAAGCATGAGCACTAGGGGGGCGGGACAGGAAAGGAGGGCAATGAAGGGCAAGAGGAGAAAGAGGGAGCACTAGTAATGCTAGAGACAGGAGACGAGGTTTCTCTTCCCTTCCTCAGCCTTCTTCGTGCTTGCCCATTCCCCCCCCACCCCCCCACCAATCGTAAATGATCGGTCCCGAAGCGCTTACCGAGACGCGGTCTAACAGAGCAAATCCAGCACTTCGATCAAACATGCGCGTCTGCTCCGAGTGTGAACAGGTATTTGCGTGGCTCTTGCTGACACTCTCGTAGTTCAAACGTATCTTTCTTAATGTCGGCTCGCTCCTGCATTTCCGAGGCCGAGAAAAACGCCGCAGCGGTTTGTTTCTATCTTCGTCGCTTTGCAAACAACTGGCACGGGGCTTTTACCAACGATGACAGCTGTGTTGACTTTGTAGCGATCGAGTTCGTAGCAGTCAACGAAGCGTTTAAATCGTGTTAGCGTCGATATATCACTGCACAGACACAAACGCGAAACGGTGGTGGAAAGGCCGCCTGTGTTGATGAGAAACAGCTTGAACACTAAACATTTACACACAGAGAGGACAGGACGTACACAGAGCTGACTTTTAATGAGTAGTTAGCCTGTGTTTGTTATTAAAAATTCACGTGCTCCGAACTATGCCAAGCTCTCCGATTGGTTGTTCATGTTGCCGAAGACAACGTCGCCATAGCAACAGCACCGGAAGTCGTCGTTTCTCCGTAAGAGGTCGTAACTTTCCTCCTCTCACTTAATAACGCGTTTGTGAATACCGTTCTCGCCTCATCTTTTGATGATCGTAACTTTACGAACATCGTAGCTAAGTTGTCATAGGTAAGAGGTTTTTTTATGAATCTGGCCTCTGTTCTTTAGCCCATCTTAGTGCCACGCCCCAGTGTACTTGGGCAGGCTACCATGCAGGTCTCAGTTTCGATTTGCTCCCTACCTCTCCCAACTAGGCTGTCAATTTTATTTTTACGCGTAGAGCAATGTTTTGTCCTATAATAACACCTGTTGACGGCATGCGTCTCGGTTTGCTCCCACATTGTTCCAGTACGGCGGATCCATGTCGTTCAACCTCATGCTTTATGGCGAACACTGAGATCTAGAAATTAAAAATAGACCTATTGCTATATTACCCAAGCATCAAGTAGAATGCAGGGATTGGTGTTCCACGCGCCACACGCCTTTCCCGTATAAAAGATTCGAAGTAATATAACCAAAACAAAGCGTTGACGAACGCGCGTGCAAGATACCTATTTTTTCAGGTATTTGCTTTAGAAAAGTTACTACTGCTGATGCCAGCAGAGCACGTGCGACGCGTGGAAAACCGATCCCTGCATTCTCCTTGATGCTTGGGTAATACAGCAATTGGTCTATAAACTAAATAAGGAAGTCCCCCTTACGAATAAAAAAATGACGGTTAGGGCCACACGAGAGAGTGGTCCCAGGGTGCAAGGCCCAGATACCACTTTGCATAATACCGCGTCTTCAAAGGTATAATTCAAGAAAAAATATCCTAGGTTGGAGGCATGCACGCATCAATTAACTCCGAGCCCATAGATCAGTGTGTCTTCGATAAATAGGTAAATATACTTGATAAAGCACGCTGCAGTTTTTCTGCATGGGGCCAAAATTTCTGTCCGAAGTGAGGGAGAAAAAAAAAATTAAAGACGTTTACAACACAACACCCTGTAACGCCGAATTAAAGCGCAGCTCTTGAGGAGGAAGAGGGAAGGGTACTGAGGGGAGGGTATACCCTCTCCCTCCTCCTCATCCTCCCTGCTACTCCTCCTCCCATTCTCCATTCTTTTCCTCGTCCACTTCCTCCTCCCCTCATCCTTTAAGCTCCACCCCTGCTCTCGTCCGCCTCATCCCTCCTCCTTCCCACTTCCCCCCTCCCCCTCCTCCTCCTCCTCCTCCTCCTCCTCCTCCTCCTCCTCCTCCTCCTCCTCCTCCTCCTCCTCCTCCCCCCCACACGTTGCATCACGGGAAATATCCCATAATGCACTGCACGGGACCCTTGTAACGTCACACGTGACGTCACAAGAGTCCCACGCAATGCATTATGGGACATTTCCCATAATTAGGGCTCCGTGTTTTCGGATAAATCAGAAGAACTCTGAAAAACACCCGCCGGTAAAATTCTTGGCAATTCGGATTTATCCGATAAACTCCGAATTGTTATGTGCCCCCCAAAAAATAAAAAAAAAAGGTTTTTTTTTTTTTTTTTTTTTTTTTACATTTTTGGCAGCACAGGCTCAATGGTCCTGGGAAAATGACACCATAATTATCTTTCAAGCCTCGGACCGTTGTCGAAAGGGGGTCTTACGGCTTGTCTCGTCAAGGTTGGTTCAGGGAAGCAGGTCATCGTACCGTTCGTGTCACGACAAAAGCCACTCTTTTGGTTTTCAGTTTGGGCCATGGGATTTGGGATTTAGAGAAAGGAGAGGGTATGTTTCTGGGGGTAACAGTGAAAGCTATGGACCATAGAGATTGTATAAAATAGGGAAGAGGGGCAGTTGAAACTTCTCTATTACGTCCACCTCGCGCGGCAGCGGGATAGATTGATGGGATGACTACGAGCTTCCTTGCTGTAGTCATCCCATCAATAAAATCAATAAACTGTCTCCGGCAGTTTATTGATTTTAAGGGCCCCACCCCTGCCCGTTTCGATCTGGATGAGCGTCGTACCGGCGTGCGGTCGTGTATCACTACTGTGTGATGCACGTTAAAGACCCCAGGCTAGCGGCTGTACCGCACTGACTAAATTTCTCATCTACAGCTGGGAGACTCGTCGCCCCTGTGAGGCAGACCAAGTTCTAGGCTGTACAAACACACACACAACCCAATTTTTTTTTTTTTTTTTTTTTATTTTAAGGTATTGACGTTTATCGAAGCCACATTTGTGTGCAACTTTTGTCATGGGACAAATTAGTATTGCCAATGACACCGACGTCAAATTCAACTGAAGAAATCTTAATTGATACAAGCGCGTTTTATTTTTTATCTGGCATACATTTGCATCCGGTTATTATTTATTATTTTTAATAGGAAACACTGCGAAAATAATCTCCGAATTTTGGAGAATTGGGGATTTATGAAAAATAAACTCCGATAAACGCCGAATTTTCGCTAAAAAATAAACTCAGAAAAACACCCTCTGAATTTTACAAAAAATAAACTTCGAAAACACGGAGCAATACCCATAATGCACCGCGCGGTTACACCCTTCAAGCCGGAAGCAAGCGCCTAAAAGCTGCGCTCTAAAAACCAAACCGGCACTCAAAGGTTTAAAGACTCGGCCACAGATCAACAATGCACGTACCTCGTGAGGCCCAGTATGGGTCTGAGGGGAGTCTGGCTCCATGTCGATGTCAAGGCCGGCCACCCAGGTGTCGAAACTGAAGAATGGAAGCGAGACAAGCAAGGTGAAAGCAGTTACTTGGAAGCGAAGAAACGAAGGGTGGAAGGAGCAGTTAGGACGCCATTTCGTCTCACCTGTCGGGAAAATACCACCAGTGGATGAGAGCACTCCGGTCTCGTTTCATCACCAAGCGCACGTATTCTTCTGCACAACAGGGAGAAAAGATTTCAGGCTTAGCCCCGTGCCTTTGGCAACCCGACGCTTCAATGGGTTCGGCAGTTTTGCAGTTCAACCACGATATCCACCTTCGTTTGATTTCAAAACAATTCACCAGCTTTGTTTGACCACCTACTGTAGATTTCTCGCTGAATTCTCCCAAAAGCTATGCAGAAGAGTACTAAAAATATTTGTGCGTTATTTTCAAAACATCACTGGCAACCCCAAGGATACCCGTCGAATGGAAGCTTGCAATCATCGCACCAGCGCATAAATCTGGTGACCCTCAGAAAGCAGTGAACTATCACCCCATTTTCTTTATGTGTATTAGGTGTCAACTACTCAAACATATAATTGCTAGACATATTGTAGCATGCATGAAGGAAAATAATCAAGTTAGAATATGCAGCATGGCTTTTGAACTGGATACTTGACATCTAACTGAGATAGTTGTTTTTTATCAAATAAAATTAATAGCCAAGTTGTTAGTTCAGTGCCCCTAGGACCCACAGGAAATTCTTTAACTTGAATGTGAATGTTTGTATCATTTACTCTAGAAGAGGCAATGCCGAGAGCAAGACGTCTGCTTCCTGCACAGGAGTTGCGGTGATGTCAGAAAGACGCCGAGCTCCGATTGGCTCCGATTGAAGGACAGTGCGTAGACCTTGAAGCAAGCTGTCTTGAGGTATACCCACTAGCCTTCATTCAGAACCAATCACAGCTCGGCGTTCTGACGTCATGACAACCCGCGCAAAAGAAGCAGACAAACTTGCGCCCGGCATAGGATGACAGACTTGAGATCCCTGTAAGGAAATGCACTACATACAAGCGAAATTAAAATGGGTAAGGCAAATAAAAAGAAACTTTCAGCCTTTTTATTCTGGTGAAGCAGGAAGAGCAGCGGAGCTGAAGCTTCTGTTCTCGATGGTGGCTTTCCAGGCGAGCGATCTGCTCTTCTTTCGCAAGGGAATCTGAAGCGCTCGACGCAGTGGAACTTTAGGCGATAGCGGCCTCGCGGCGGTTGGAGAGCCATTCGCGCTGCTGGGCACATCGCCACTTGTTCCGTTCCTGCTCTTCCTCCGAAGAAATGTTGCCGCCATCTATGAGCGACGGCGGCAAGCAGACAACTGGCAAACACGACACTCTGGACACCTACCGCCATCTATGAGCGACGGCGGCAACCAGAGTGTTCTGTCGACATTTGTTTGGTACCGGACACGGTCCTGGGGAAACTAGCTCTTAACAGCTCCGCTCTAAAAATGTACGGGAAGCCTTATCCTACTTCATATGGAATAGCATGGAGTCCCGCTTGGAGTATTCCGATGGCATGTATTACTGCCAACAGATCGACAGCAGCAAGTTGAAATTCAAACCAAAAGTAGTCAATAGTGGCTCCCAAAAATAGCCAACAGAGTGCAGAAAGTCAAATTTAGGGGTTTACGTGCCAAACCAACAAAAGGCATCTGGCATGCTCCAGTGGAGCACGGAAGATTAATTTCGACCACCACATTTGACGTGCAATCGAAATCTCTTGTTACATGGCGTCTCCACTGCAATAAGCCTCCGTCAGACCGCAGGCATTTTGGCCTGGATTCAAACCCGCCACCTGGGGATCCGAAGCCCAGCCCTTTGCCTCGAAGTCACCAAGGCAGCTAATAAAACGCAGACTAGCCAGTCATGGCTCCTCTCACCAGAGGTGTCTGTCACGGGCGCGGGAGGGTAGACGATGTGACTGGCATCGTCTTGAGTTTCTGCAATGGTGCCCTGGTGCCTCTTGATGATGTCCTTCAGCCGAGAGATGAGCTGCTTCTCCACCTGCAGACACGCAGAGTGTCACCCAAAACTCTTGACCAATTTCGAGTCGGGCAGGCAAACACAACACAAGCGTTTGTCACGCTTTTCTTTATGTATTTGTGTGCACACAACCTCTCAAACTCAAGTCTCGACACTGCCGACAAGTGTGCAGGATTCACAAAGGATACATCCTGTCAATTAGAGTCTTTTGTTTTGGTTAAGGGAAGACACTACTCAGAAAAAAAAAGATTTCTGCAAAAATATTTGATTTTGAAAAATGACATATTACATTTACCAACATCTAGAGAGCCTTCCCAGAAAGTTTAATTAGTTTACACTGCATGATTAATTTTTTATAAATTATTTGTTGTCCACCGGAGCTGAAAAAAAGGTAGGGTTTGGAGCACTTTGAATGCATTTTTCCCTGCTCCACTTTTTGGTGTAAATTCCATTTTATTCAATCTATCGTTTGATAATGGCAATACAGAGAAGGCTCGTTCTTCACTTTTCCTGACTGGCATTTAATAAGGAGTGCGGCTATGGAATTTTGTCGTCACTTTATGGATGTCATTTATAAAAAATGTTGACATTGTGTCCAAGACACAGAAGACAAAAAAGTTGACAAATTTTTCAGAAAAGAATATTTCATAAAAATAAACAACTTTAAAAGAAAAAAAACTTTTCACAGCTGCACTTTCTAGCCATTCTCCTACATATCTAGTGAATAAAAGTCTTCAATATAGTGACAGTTTTCCAACGATCGATTAACTAAACAATGTAGGCGTGTTGCTGATAGAAGCTGCTCTAATTTCCTTCCCATTTAACCAACAGACCTGAAATTTTGTAATGCACCCTTTTGCATGGCCACCAGCCTACCCTCTAAATTTCATTAATTTTAAGCCAAGGGTTCAAAAGTTGACCCTTCCACGGGTGTGGTGTGTCCCCTTAAGCAGATAAAGGCTAGCTTCCATGCATCGCCTTCAGCAGTTTGAGGATCAGTTTCGCAAACCCAGTTTCCAACCCCGATCAATTGCTTTCACAAATTCCCAAAACAAAGGGCAGGGATGACCCTTTGAAACAAATCTATATGTCCAATGGACGAATGATTACACCCATTGGATTGTGTCTACGGCTGCTCAGGACTACGGGTAGAGAGATTCCCACCTCGGGGGAGATGTAGATGTGGGGAAGAGACAAGCACTTGTTCTGCACCAGAGTCTTCTCGACGGTCATAAACATCTCCACGTTGCGGTCCATGCGGGAGGGAGACTGGAAGTCAAACCTGCGCCTGGAACGGAGAGGCACAAAACGCTCGGCTGAACGTCGACGTCAATGAGGGAACACGAAGGCGCCCAACGGCAGAAGGTAACGTGTCCTAAACTGTTGCACACAGTACCGGGTGTTAGGGAGAGAAAAGAACTGTGGCTTTTCTGCCCACAAGAATAAACTGTGGAGTGAACAATGCTTATAGGGTTCTTGCACGAGACCATGATGAAGCGCTACTTCCAGTTTGGAAATCTCGCCGAAATCCATGTTGGAGGCATTCGTCGCTGTTATGCTATGTTTTGTGCGCTTTGGGCCGTGTTTGCACTGTAGTCTGTCCACTCACACAAGGTTTAAAATGGTCAGTTGCACAGTGGTTGACTGTTCCAGCGGTAAAAGTCGCCAACAAAATGGAGCGATGGCCAGCAGTTTTTTTTTTTTTTTTATAATTCTGGCAATTATTAGGAACAAGGACAAGGTGATGCTTGAGAAATCAGTTCGCCGGTGTCATGAATGGCTCCGGCAGATGCGCCGGCACAATCTTGACAAAAGCTCTTCGTACCAACTACAGGTTTGGGGACTAGAAGTTCCTGAAAGTCATTTATAACTTTCTAGGCAGATAAGTTGGGAAACATTGGCACGTGGTCCCAACTGCTGGAGCTACATTGTGGCAAATACTGAGCGATTAATGATGCATAGCCAAGTTTTTTTTGGCTATATCTATATTAAAGGGCCCCTAAAAAAAAATTTTGTTTGAACAGTTTGGTTGGGACACGAGTGTAAAAAAATTGATTTGACACAAAAAAAAAATATTTTGGAGAAAAATTGACGACGAAGAATTTATTTGGAATTCTGCGCGAAGTCCGCGACGTCACGAGTCATTCCGGAATGACCATCTCGGTCGAGAAGGCGAAGCCGATTCACCTCTCCTCCATGCGCCCGAAATGCCACGAGAGAAACAAGGGGAAAGGAGATGACTGCCAACTAAATCACGTCTCGCACTGTCAATATTGCTCTAAATTTTTTTTTTTTCTTTTCAGGGGTCCTTTAAGGGGGGACACTGCCCAGAAAAAGAGATATCTGCATAAAAAGTTTATCTTAGAAAATGCTAAATTTACATCCACCAACATCTAGAGTGTATTTCCAGAAAGTTGCATTAGTTTACGCTGCATAGTTATTTCTTTGTAAATTATTATCGGTCCACCGATGCTAAAGAAAAGGTAGAGACTAAAATACTTTGAAAACATTTTTTTCCCGTTCCCACTTTTTGGCATATAAATTTCACTTAAGGAAAACTATCGTTTGGTAATAGGACAAAAGGAAAGATTCACTTAATGGTGTTTTTTTTAACTGGAATTTGATGGGCAACATAACTGTGGAATTGTTTTTTGACTTCATGGATGTCTTTTATAAATGATGTTAAGATTTTGTTGCCAACATAAAAAGCAAAATTTTTTTTTTTTTTTTCGCTGCGATGTTAGCATAAAATAAATTACTTTTTGGAATTTTTTTTTCACAGTTGCACTCTGCAGACAATGTGCTGCAGATCTAGTGAAGAAAAACGTTGTGTATTACATTAGTTTTCTAACGATAGTTTTCCTAAACAGTCAGTGTATTCCTGATAAAAACAACTATAATTTATTTTACAATTCATATACACAGATGAAACTATGCACTGCATTCTGCCTCATTACTGCCATTATATACTGTAAATTCCATTCATATTAAGGCAAAGGTTCAAGAGTTGACTCTTTTGGGTAGTGTCTCCCCTTAAGTGTGGTGCATTTACACTATACTCCGCTTCACCTGACAACAGACGAGCCGTCAGAGACAATCCAATGCCGTGCGAGTGTCCCGTGACCTTCGAGGAGTGGCAGGGGGGGGGGGGGGGGGGGGGGGGGCAGCAACGTGCAGACACATAGTTATGTGATATGTTTAACGTAGTGGACTGGTTAGGGTGACTCGCGGCGTCCAAAGCGATTCATCATAAGGTGAAACAAAATATAGCCATTAGTGAAAGAAGAACATATCAGAAGAGCAACATGGCACAAACTTACAGCTGGGGTGAGCTTAACAAAAAAGAGGCCGCATCTCCACGTGGTGAATGACGTTGATTGGGGCGAAGCTCTGGTGGTGCTGATGATACTGATTTTATTGTTCATAGGTAGTGCTGATGGTGCTGATTTTATTTTGTTGGTCCTAGGTAGTGCTAAGTTCCAAGTTGCGTTTCAACTTCATTATTACTGCTTTATGGTCGGTGAAATGCAGAGCCAGTGGTTCTTCTAGCGGATCAGCTTTGATCCGCTAGAAGCCGTGGGAACACATCTCCACCGTTTAAGTCAACGGTCCACGTCAGAAAGAGAATGTGTGGTATGGATCGTGGTGATATACGCAGTTGAGCATTTGACCGCAGCGCCCTCTCGTCTATAAATGCTGAGCCAATGCATGCAAGGTTTAATGTGATTATATACGCATTTGACCGCAGCGCCCTCTCTTGTATAGACGTTGAGCGGCTACATGCAACGCTGGAGTGTAGTGTAGTGGTTAAGACGTCTGCCTCGTAAGCAAGCAATCCTGAGTTCGAACCCCAGTGCGGGCATAAGTTATTTTTTTTTTTTTAAAGTGGGCAGATCCCGGAGGCAGTGCAATCGATGGGAGCACAGACGCCTGACGGACAAGGCTAGACCCTAAGAAGCTTCGCCCCTAATATTATTTCCACTCCAAGAGACTTCGATAAATTGTTTGGACAGGAAAGGATCAAAAGCTGACCCACTTACCATCCCTGCTCGCTCTTGAACTTGTAGACAGCAGCAAAGATGTGGCAAAGTGCACCTCCAGGCTTAAAGTCCATAAAACATTTCATCTGAAAGCAAAATGCAAGTATGTCGATTGAACTTGGAATTGTTACAATTAACAAAGAAAAGACGGCCTGTCATAGAACAGTGGCATCGGGAAAACCGCTGGACAAACGCGGACCCAGGTTCGAATGGAGAGACCTCCCGAAGGAGAAAGAGGGGCGCAGTCGGCTGGGTTCGGATGGGCGAAGGTGCCTTTACGACTTCGATGAACAAGAGACAGTACAGCGGGGAATGACTCTGGGCCATTTGGAGGCGATAATTAGGTGCTGTGAAGAGTGGGCGAGAGAGAGCTGTGATATCGGGGATAATTGAGATGAAAGAAAATTGAGGCAGAGAGCTGCGATATTAAGAATTGAGATCAGTGAAGTGAGTACAAAGAGTTGTGTGGAGTGTTTAAAACCATCAAAAGATTATTGCATTTCTGTCTTGAGTGTCCTGTGTTGTCTGTGAAGTCCATCCTCTGCTACATAAACTGGATTTAAATCACTTTGATGAGGCTTCTGTGATTCGTCCCCAAGACCATCACTCGTCGGAGACGACATCAGCATCTTAACTCTACACGGCCGAAATGTTCTTGCTCAAAGCCTTCAAATGGGGGTCGATTTCAACACATTGCCAGGTTACTCCCTCCCATCACAGTTTCTAATGGAACACTTCAGGTGAGACAAACCAAAGATATCTTGTGCTGACACACTTCATACCCAGACGCTACCCACAGGCAGCTATTCACATAGAGGCATTTCAAGTCCTTTTTTTTTAATGCCATTTGATGTCTACTTTCGCTTTCGAAAATCTATGCAAACACATGACATTACACCGAGTACTGGCTAACATGTGAGAGGAACTTTCACAATTTCTTACATATCGGTCAATTCCACTAACTTTTTCTACTTCAGCAGGGAGCAGTCGCCCACAATACTAGGGTGAACATGCAAAAAGCAGTCAATTAGACCTGCCAACAACAATGCATTAAGGATTAAGTATAGCCACGGACAGAAAAGATGCAATACTGTAAACATGAGGAGACAACGTTCATCTTTACTTATACGTGACGCCAGTGCCGCCTGGACACCACCTCGGTGTTTCCTCTCACGCTCTGGGAGACTTCATCATCCCTATGGTATAAATCATGTTCATGGAATGAAATGGCTGGCGATGAGGATATTCCTGGTATGGAATAACTATGGTAGACTCAGACAGCATGATGTTGGTCAGCATAATATTAGAGTAGAAAAAAAAAAAAAAAAAAGACACAATTCGGGGCAGGACCCAACGTAGAGAGATTTTAGATGTACAGATCTGTACATGTTCGCACGCGTCCTAAAAGTCTGGTCTTTCTAGTATGGTTACTTAGATTTGGTCTCGTGGCACCCATTCGAAAAAACACAAAACCCCAAGGGATTGTCGGCGTACTCACTGGAAGTCGTGTCAGCGGCGGCTTGCTCACGCTTTTGCCAAATGCATCTTCTTGAAACTGGATGAGCTGAATCGCCAAGCTCGCCAGTCCCTTGTTCGTTGGCGGTTCTGCCTGAGTGTACTGCAAGACGGAGGTTACACTCAGTCACTTTCAACGAGAACATAATTCTCTCACTGTACCGCACATTCTTCTGCTACCACAAAATTCGAAGACCAAAACAATACAGTCAACCGTTCCGAGTTTTAGATGCTAGGATGCAGAGAACATCTTGAATATTTGTTGTTCTTTAACAGCGCCCGGCAACATGCAAGTTGGACACACATACAATATGAATTAGTGTTTTTGGACGGAAATCTGCGTCCGCAATTCAAGCTTAAAGTTTCTGCAAAAATGCACGTAAACGAAGCAACGCCTGAGAAGAGTCCGTGGAAGTGAGAAATCCGCACCGAACACCACTCGCACCCAACGTATGCCGGATTGAACGCCTTAGGCTTAGTATAAATGAATAAAACTTTCATTGAAACTTCAGGTAACCTCATCGTTCAAATCGATCGTGCGGTCTCTACGAGTTTGTATGCAGCTTCCGAAGGCGCGCGGCGGTACCACGCGTTTGGCTGGGCTGTCAAGACGCAAAGACGCCGTCAATCAAATGCGATAGCGACGCCGGCCTTGCCATCGCTTCGGAAAACGGAAAAAACGTACTCCCGATCCACGACTAAAATAACCAGAAAGGTAAATCACGAACCTTTTTGCAGTTCTTGTGGAGCCATTGCTTCACGCCGTCAAACTGCGTGATTGTTTCTGCCGATTCGTAAAATTTCAAGTTTGGCCCACCGTCCCTTTTTCTTTGAACGACCGCCATGTTTAACAACAATCGCGTTTTCCGCTTCGCACACTAAGCAACGGCTAAAAACATTTTACACGCAAGTGAAACAAGTGGCGCTAGTAGTAATTTAAGCTAATACATTCATGTGTTTACTAAGATTTATAACAAACTAGTAATATCACTACTCTTATATTTTTAAATGTCAATATTTAAAGTTATAACTATGCAAAAACTTTAGAAAAATTTTTTTCAGTAATTTGTTTTAAAGGAAACAACGAATATATTAAGGAAGCGGTTTTGATTTGACAAATTTATTTAATACTAATAAAATAAATTTCACTTTTCGTGCTTAACAAAGTTTATCGTTTTACGAAGAACCTTTTATTTCCGTCCTGCAACTGCAAATGGCTGTTTCGATTTTGTTTACACGTCACTCAAGATGGAGTCAATGTTGTTCGTAAGTAAACGAAAGTCTGCATGTTACGCGATTTGCTGTTTAGTTTATGACATTTTCTGAGCTAAAACGAAGCTTCTGGTCCCCTAGAAGTCTGTACACGCGTAATTGATAGCCATTTGGTTCTACATTTTCTCCAGTACCCAATGAAACTGGGATTAGCTACCGCGTTTGTTTCGCCACATTCATGCTCGCCCAGCACCGGTCGTCACTTTTAAAATTTGTTAAACCTTTTACAATCGTTGGGGAATCGGTGGCCGAGTGTCTAAGCGAATCGCAGCTCGAAGCACAGGGAGCGAAATCTCGCTCTGCAGGATCCAGGGATCATGGGGTCAATCCCCACACCTGTCCGTTTAGACCTGGATGAGCATCGTACCGGCGTGTGTTCGTGTAATAAAAGTACACGTTGAAGACCCCAGGCCACCAGTGATACCGCACTGGCTAAATCTCATCTTCAGCGGAGAAATTAAACGCCTACTGGGGCTGACAGCTTCCCTCCATCTAAACTTAGGCGCAACACAACCTTGCACAAGGGGTGGGCATTCGTGAAAACATACCTTGACATTTCTGTGCGTCGCTGGGACATCATGCCGTTCTGTACTTTTCAGGAACCTACGCTCTACACTGTGAAAGCGATTGCTATCCTGGACAACGATGGCAACAGGATCCTTGCCAAGGTATTTAGTTCTTGAACGTGCGCTTGGTTTAGAAGCTTTCGATTACCTCCATTATTCACTCGCAAAAATACACATACTTACTGTGCGTAAGCGGCGAGTCCAATCTCCTTCGTATGCAGTAGTGTTGAATGCAATGCGTAGAATTGTGTCACCTCGATTACATTGCTGGTAGTGGTTTTGTTGGCTTTTACTGTTTGCCATATGACTTTGCACCATGTCACTTATGGCATATTTTTGGTGCAAAAACATGCTCTGAAGTCCTGAGATATATAGTTTTGCTTTCGTTGAATTACTGCTTACGAAGCGTTTTTAAGAGTTGTCGCTGAAAAGTGAGTAATGCCATTTTATTTCAGTACTATGATAACACCTTCCCATCGGTAAAAGAGCAAAAGGCATTTGAGAAGAATCTTTTCAACAAAACACACCGTGCAAATGGTAAGTATTTGATAATAATAATCGTCATAATAATAGTGTAATAATTAATTTTACATTGAGTATGTACATGTAATGATGTGTGGGGCTTGGGAGAGAGGTGGTTATTCTCATGCAGAGTGCAGGTGAGCTTGCCACTACATGCACAAAAACAAACAAACAAGAAAGAACACAACAAACTTGAAAGTCAGATTTGATTTTTTTAATGTGCCAGACCAAGGAACAACATCTGGCATGCCCCTGTAAAGGACTGAGGATTAATTTAGATCACCTGGGGATCATTCATTGTGCAGCTTAAAACTCGCTTAAAGTGATGCAGCAAGCAAGCGTTCCAAGATGTGTCTTTGGCACATCAGAAGGCAAGGAGGGGTATGCCAATCAAAGGGAAACGGAATGCGCAATGACAAGGCAGTCAAACGCGCATCGTCATTGGTTGAGGTCGGGGGAAACAAAGGCATGGGGGCGCCTTTGCTGGGTAAACGAGTGTATGAGATGTGCATGGAGCAGGCAAAGTTGCACGCTGCACAAACAACACATGCACAAAAAATTATTGTACTGGCATCTGATGCTGTGGTTATGTGACACCTTTCAGCCGAAATAATCATGCTGGACGGTTTGACGTGCGTCTACCGGAGCAACGTGGACCTCTTTTTCTACGTGATGGGCAGCAACCACGAGAATGAGGTAACTTGTGGATCCATCTGCATTTGAGAGGGAGGAGCAATACTAAGAGAAAATGCCCTGTCTTTAGTGACAAACTTTGCATCTGACAACTGGTTAGGGTTGGCAACCAACCCTAAGCTTGTGTGACTCAAAACGCAGGGGTGGAACGGCTGCGCCATTTTGCGCCAGACACATTTGTCTGTGCCATCCTGCGCCATGTTGCGGAAACTGCGCCACAGCCAATACCTCGCGTCATTATGCACCAAATCGCAAAACGTGCCCCCAAAAAAATTGCATTTTGTCTTGGTTCCAGTTTCTATCGACTCGATTGGAAACAATGAGCACGTTTAGCTTGATTGGCATGGCAATCCTTTGTTCTGTTTATTCTCCCTGTGCATCCCGAGTCGAAAGCGAACGAAAAAACTCGGAGGGGGGGGGGGGGGGGGGGGGGGTGTCAGATTTCAAGCGTTACACCACCTGTGACTGGATTGTTATTCTTCAACCATAAGCGGTTAAGCAAATCGGCCGAGGTGAGGTCGAGCCCTTAATCGTTAGGTTGCCTGAGGCTCTGCGGCCGTGGATCTGGACGTCAGCCAGTTGAAAACAAATGAGCAAAATATTCCTTTTAGTACTTCATCGTTAGAAGTTGGAACCGCATTCCCGCAAGGTAAATCAGGTTTTGGTTGAACTGAAACGCGGTCCGATCCGAAACCTTGCCGGCAAGCAGCTCTGACGCGAGCTGTAGATCTACTCAGAGTACTTTAACCTTGCTCCTGCTTATTGTTTTGAATACAATAACTCTGTTAATTATAATCTGCTGCTTCAATATTGAGTTGCACAATAGGATAAACTCGAAGTTTGTTGCCCTGTTCCTCCGCGCAACTGCACGTCCATTGCTTATGCAAATTACGTGGTTCGCACATATAATTACTATGTCGAGCACGTGTGAGTTGTGCAATAAGCAGTGCTGGTTTGCATTTTGAGCACCTGAAAGCCACTCCAAAAATACTGAGGGGAGGGCATACCCCTTCTCCCTCCTCCTCACGTCCTCATCCTACCTGCTACTCTTCCTCCCTCCTCTTCCTACTCCTCCTCCCCTCCTCCTCCTCCTTCCCTCATCCTTCAAGCTCCTCCCCTCCTCCTCCCCCTCCCTCCTCTCCTCCTCCTCATCCGTCGTCCCCCTCCTTGCCCCTCCTCCCCGCTAGGTGCATTATGGGATGTTTCTCATAATGCACCGCGCGGTTGCGCCGACGGCGACGCCGCTCAAGCCGGGAACGGGCACCTAAGAGCTGCGCTCTAAAATATCAAGGACACTATCTTCAGAGACATATGGTACTTGCTTTTTGATTCTCATTGAGGCTCCCAAAGTTTCAAGTTTTTACATCTGTTACACTGTTGTTATCCCATCTGCCCAGGTCCCTAACCAGTCATGTTCACCTGCACTGCTAAGCAGAATTGAAATTGCTCCCGTGCTTGTCTAAGACACAAGCTGAAGTGCAATGAAAACTGATCTGAGCTGCTCCTAGCCTGCTCCAGAATGTAGTTTTAGCTGCTCCCAATCTGCTCCAAAGCTGCTGTTTAAGCTGCTCCCGGGGCTGCTCTCAAGTATATTTCATGAGTTCCACCCATGAAAACCTTTTGTGGAACTACAAGAAAAATGGAACTGTTAGGGGTACTGGGCATATTAAAATGGAGACAACGTGCCAGGACTGTCTTTTGGTAATGTAGTCCTCTCCACAAGGTCAGATATTCCTCGAGGTTTTGAGATCAAAGATAGGAGAGTGGGCAGATTGTTGCAAGGGACACATTAGAACAGGCCAAATGAAGGACTGCAATGGGCTGCCAAATGAAGGACTGCAGACAAACTTCTGAAGGCAGTGAGGCAACCATCAAATTCAATTTTTGTCAGACTAATCAAGGTAAGGGATATGTGGTTGGAAGGCAAAGTGTTTAAGTACTGACGTATGAAAGTTTGAACACAAAATAGATGAACTGAAGCTAAAAGTTGAGATTTAAATACCTGCACAGACTAAAAGGTGATGAGACTGAGTAAACTAGCTTTCCAAGAAAGGGAGTATGAGTAGTTGAGAAAAATAGCCCCTTCCCCTGGCAAATAGCGAGCGCTCGCCGAGCGGATTCGTTTCCCTCGCGAGATGAAAGCGATCTCTCCGTGCGCCGCTTGTAGATCTGGAGCCAGTGGGGCTTTCGCCGAGCGACTCCAACCGCTCCGTGGAAAAGTGGCGGAGCGCGTCGAGCGGTCCGGAGTAGTTCTTTGCGCAGCCTTTTTCAGAGGAGTACGATCTGTAGTCGTCTCTCGCAACGTTTCAGTTTCGTTATCGACATTCCCGCAGGGGAGTGAAGGAGTTTCGCGGCTTCTTTGTTTCGATTGCTGTGTAGGCTCTCTTGGCGTGCTTGTTTTCGTTACCCTCGTCATGGCCGACTCGCTTGAGCATACTGCAGCGATGACATCGTTGCAGTTAATTTCAGGAGGTCTAATAAAACGCAGTGACAGCGACGAAGATACCAGCTTAGCTCCAGCTCGATTGACGATGAGGCAGCCGTTCTCGACGAAGTGGTTTCCGAGTCGTTTGGCTGGCCAGAGAAGAGGCCCAAGATACCGCGTTGCGTTGAAGGCGGTGTGCGCGCCTATTCGGATGAAGAGCTAGGTATGTCGTTTGTTCGTTTTGTGGTCTCTGTAATGTAATTGTAATAATTAGAAGACAACACGCCAAATACTCCGCAGATGGAAGTCGCCTTCGGAGATGACGATCGCTTTACAGCATACGTGTTTGGTACTGCTTAATAGCATCCTAAGGCTCGTACAAGT